TGATAGAGCATAACACCCATTTATGATAAAAACACTCAGCAAAGTGGGAGTAGAGGGAACCTACTTCAACATAATAAGGGCCAGATACGAGAAACCTACAGCGAACATCATACTCAATGGGCAAAAACTAAGAGCTTTCCCTCTAAATCAGGAATAAGACAAGGATGTCTGCTTTCACCACTTCTATTCAACATAGTATTGGAAGTCCTAGCTGCAGTGATCGGACAAGGAAAAGAAATAAAAGGCATCCTAATTGGAAAGAAGGAAGTAAAACTGCCATTATTTGCAGATGACAAGATAGTGTACATAGAAAACCCTATAGACTCCACCAAGAAAACTACTCGACCAAATAAGTGAATTTGGCAAAGCAGCAGGATATAAAGTCAATATTCAGAAGTCTAAGGCATTTTTGACAACCACCAAGAAATATCAGAAGCAGAAATCAGGCAAAAATGCCATTTTCTATAACAACAAGAAAAATAAAGTACCTAGGAATAAACCTAATCAAGGAGGTAAAAGACTTACACTCAGAAAACTACACAACACTGAAGAAAGAAATTAAGGAAGACACGAATAAATGGAAGCATATACTGTGTTTATGAATGGGAAGAATTAACATAATCAAAATGTCTATATTGCACAAAGCAATTTATAGATTCAATGCAGTCCCTATTAACATACCAATGACATATTTCACAGATACAGAACAAACATTTCAAAAATTTGTATAGAACCCTAAATGACCCTGAATAGCCACAACAATTTTGAGAAAGATGGACAAAGTAGGAGGAATCACAATATCTGACATCAAATTATATTACAAGGCCACATTAATCAAAACAGTCTGGTACTGGCATAAGAACAGACACATAGATCAATGGAACAGAATAGAAAGCCCAGAAATAAACCCTAGTCTCTATGGGTAATTAATATTTGACAAACGGGGCAGCAGTATAAAATGGAGTAAAAACAGCTTCTTCAACAAATGGTGTTGGGAGAGCTGGACGGCTACATGCAAAGAAATGAAACTTGATTGCCAACTTACAATATACACAAATATAAACTCAAAATGGATAAAAGACTTAAATACATGATACAATAAAAGTCCTTCAGGAGAACATAGGCAAAAAAATCTCAGATATTCCATGCAGCAATATTTCGCCAATATGCCCCCTACAGCAAAGGACATAAAGAATAAGCAAAAAGCCCTGGCTGGAGTAGCTCAGTAGATTGAGCGCGGGCTGGGAACCAAAGTGTCCCAGTTTCGATTCCCAGCCAGGGTACATTCCTGGGTTGCAGGCCATAACCCCCAGCAACCGCACATTGATGTTTCTCTCTCTCTCTCTCTCTCTCCTCCCCCCTTCCCTTCCCTCCCTAAAAATAAATAAATAAAATCTTAAAAAAAAAGAATAAGCAAATGGGACTTCATCAAAATAAAAAGCATCTTCACAACTAAAGAAAACATCAGCAAAATGAAAAGGGAACCAACCATATGGGAAAATATATTTGCCAACGATATCTCAGACAAGGGTCTGTTCTCCAAAATATATAAAGAACTCACATGGCTCCACTCTAGGAAGATAAACAAGCCAATTAAAAAATCGGGAAAGGACCTAAACAGACACTTCTCCAAGGAGGACACACAGAGGGCCCTGAGACATACGAAAGGATGCTCAGTATCACTAGCCATGAGAGAGATGCAAATTACAACCTCAATGAGATAACACTTCACACTGGTCAGAATGGCCATCATGAACAAATCAACAAACAACAAGTGTTGGAGAAGATGTGGAGAAAAGGGAACCTTAGTGCACTGTTGGTGGGACTGCAGACTGGTGCAGCCACTATGGAAAACGGTATGGAATTTCCTCAGAAAACTAAAAATTGAACTGCTTTTTGATCTGGCAATTCCACTGTGGGGATTTTACCCTAAGAATCCTGAAACACCAAATCAAAAGAACCTTTGCACCTCAATGTTCATAGCAGCACAATTTACAATAGCCAAGTGCTAGAAACAGCCTAAGTGCCCATGAGTAATGAGTGGATAAAAAACTATGGTACATTTACACAGTGGAATACTACACAGCAGAGAGAAAGAAGGAGCTCCTACCCTTTGCAACAGCTTGGATAGAGCTGAAAAGCATTATGCTAAGCGAAATAAGCCAGGAAGTGAAAGACAAATACCATATGATCTCACCTTTAACAGGAACCCAAACAACAAAACAAAGAAACAAGCAAAATATAACCAAAGACACTGAAATAAAGAACAGACTGACAGAGTTCAGAGGGGAGAGGAGAGGGAATTTCAGGGGAATTTCAGGGGAAAAGGGGAAGGGTTTACAGGAATGAGTATAAAGGACACATGGATAAAAACTAGGGGTGGGTGGAAATGGGAGGGAGGAGGGGAGGGCTGGGTGGGTGGGTTGGGATGGTAGTAAAAGATAGAAAATTGTACTGCAACAATTTAAATAAAATTAAAAAAATAAAGAACAAGCTGAAAGTAATCAGAGGGCGGGGGGAGGAGGGAAAAGAGGAAGGGTTGTCAAGGAACATGTATCAAGGACACATGGACAAAGATAAAGTAGGTTGGGATTGAGGGTGGGAGATGGGGATGGGTGGGGCAGGATGATGTGATGGGGGCAAATGGAGTCAACTGTACTTGAACAACAATAAAAAAAGAAATATAAAAAATATATCTCAAGAGCCTGGAATAGTAGGCACTCAAATATTTGTTGAGTAACTAAGTGAATTACTGAGAAAAACATGAAACATAAAGAATAAGATGTAAAGTAGGGAAAAAGTTGGTTTTTATTTTTCTTCTAGATAAAGTCCAAGAATCACATCAAGATTTAACTGAAAAGTCATTCCCTCTATGATCTGGACACTGCTTGCTGCAGCCAGATTGAGCAAGGAGGATGTTTTCCTCCTTTGACAGGCCCCAGCAGAGGTGTTTAATTCTGGCCCAGTGGATTGTCCTTGCATGTTTTTGGATAAGCAAACACCAGTGGACCTTTGAAGACTTTGGAAATGGCTGGAAGACAGCATTAAGCTACCTGTAGAGTCATTTACTGGATTCCATGACAAGCAACTGGAACCCTTGGAGAAAAAATTAGAACCATAGAGCAGAGGACTTCAGAATGGAGCAGGCACTTTGACTGGTGTGGTTCAATGGGTTGGGTGTCTTCTGCAAACTAAAAGGTCACCAGTTGGATTCCTGGTCATGGTACATGCCTGGGTTGCAGGTCAGGACCGCAACCTGGTGGTGTGTGAGAGGTAACCAATTGATGCTTCTCTCTCACATTGATTTTTCTGTCCTTTCTTTCTCCCTCCCTCCCTTCCCTTTTCTCTAAAATTGGAGTGCGGGGGGGTGGGGGTGGGGGTGGGTGGGAATTGAGTAGGCATACCCCTGGGCATCCCAGAATACTGCCCAAGTACATTTGCAGTTTTAAGGAAATGGATTTCCAAATTTCAGCTTCCCTGATTTTACTCTTCCCTGGACTTGGCTGGCTTGCAAACAAGCCTAACTACACAACAGTCCTTCTATTTTACAAAGTACATCTCTTCCATCACAATTCAAATGAGGGCTAACTACCCAGGTGTAAGAAAACCTCTTTGTCCTAAAGAAAGGTATATATATTTAATTACTGGATTCAGGGAAACCTTTTAAACAATTAATCCATTGTCAGATAAATGTATAGATAAAATGTGGTATATGCATAGAATGGAATTATTCCGCCTTAAAAAGGAAGACCGACACATGCAACAACATGGATAAACCTCGAGGATATTATTTTAATAAGCCAGTCATAAAACAGCAAAGACTGTGTGATTCCACTTCCATGAAGTACCTGGAGCACTCAATTCATAGAGACAGAAAGTAGAAGGGTGGTTGCTAGGGGCTGAAGAGAAGGAGGACTGGGGTGTTAGTGTTCAATGGGTAGTGTTTCAGTTGTCCAAAATGAAGAGTTAGAGATGGGTGGTGGTGATAGCTGTACAAAAATGTTAATGTATTTGCTGTCACTCAACTGTACGGTTTTGAGGAGTAACCAAGGCATTCTAAACTCAAGGGGTTCCTGTCTCATATGTGTACCTATGAAGAGCTTGATTTTATTTTTTAAATATTTTATTTACCTTTAGAGAGGAAGGAGAAAGAGAGGGAGAAAAACGTGAATGAGTTGCCTCTCCTGTGCCCCTTACTGCGGACCTGGCCAGCAACCCAGACATGTGCTCTGACGGGGAATGGAACGTGCAATCCTTTGGTTCACAGGCCAGCACTCAATCCATTGAGCTACACCAGCCAGGACAAGGCTGAATTTTGGAAATAGATTTTTGAAAGCCTGTACTGAGAGCTCTGGAATCTGAACTGTGGATGCAACATGGATTATCTAAAATGTATAACTTTTCGTAAGTTTTTGAGAACCAATGGATAAAACTTGCAAATGAGAATTTCATACAATTTCTTTAAGCTTGTGTGTGCTTTTAAGAAGTCAAATAAAAATACTTTTCCATAAAAATTCCAATTACAGTGAATCTTAATGTCTTTCAGCTTTGTAAAGGGGGAACATTTTCTGTTTTCCATTAACTAAAAAAGTACCTTTATTTAAACTTACATTGAAAGTTTGTGTATTTCAATGGGCAAGAGCCTGTAGCTTTCCAAAATTCTTTTAGGCAGTATGCCAGCAAGTGCGTCAGGCTGTGAATACTCCTGAGAGTATTCCCTGCTTCTTTCGGGTTAGGTTTTTGAGCCAGTAGCACAGATGACTCTTAGAGAGGTAGAATATTAGCATCTCTCCAGGGCCCTGGGCGGTCCTCCCTGTCGCAGAGGGGGCGTGGCTCCCCGTGACCTCCCAGCTGGAGTTCACCATCCCCGCTAGCTTCCTGTCCCGTCGTGTTCCCGCCAAACTTTTAAGTTAAATTTCATTTCCAGCCCCGACTGCTTGTTCTTCTTCCCGTGGCTTTTTCTCGAAGCCGAATCTTTGAGATAACAGAGCGCGCCAGCCATGAATTCTTGGCGAGGAAAGGCGACGCGCACACCTTCGAAGACCAGCGCTGCCACCTTCAAGGTTTCCACGCAGAGTGCGAAGCGCCCTGCGACGAAGCCGGCCCCGGGGAAGCCGGCTCTGGAGAAGCCCGCTCGGGAGAAGCCCACCCCGACGAAGCCCGCCCCAGAGAAGCGGGCTCCGGAGAAGCCCACCCCGACGAAGCCCGCCCCGGAGAAGCGGGCTCTAGAGAAGCCCGCTCGGACGAAGCGGGCCCTGCAGAAGCCCGCCCCGGAGAAGCCGGCTCCGGAGAAGGCGGCTCGGGAGAAGCCCACCCCGACGAAGCCCGCCCCGGAGAAGCGGGCTCTGGAGAAGCGGGCTCTGGAGAAGCCGGCTCTAGAGAAGCCCGCTCGGACGAAGCCGGCCCAGCAGAAGCCCGCCCCGGAGAAGCCGGCTCCGGAGAAGCCCGCTCGGACGAAGCCGGCCCAGCAGAAGCCCGCCCCAGAGAAGCCGGCTCGGAAGAAGCCCGCTCGGACGAAGCCAGCTCCGGAGAAGCCCGCTCAGACGAAGCCGGCCCAGCAGAAGTCCGCTCCGGTGAAGCCTGCCCCCGAGAAGCCGGCCCAGCAGAAGCCCGCCCAAAAGCTGCGCGCCCCGACGAAGCCCGCCCCGGAAAAGCCGGCCCGGAAGAAAAGCACCCAGGAGAAGCCCAGCGAAAGTCTGGTAGTGTTCGACGCTGCCCTGCCTAAAGACCTTAAGTGCGGCTTCATCAGAGCGTCGGGATCCCAGCAGAAGAAGAGCGTCCCTGGTCCCCAGCAGAGGCCGCAGGCACACGCGCGGGGTGCGCCTAAGGCGCCTCTGAGCGCCGAGGATTTTTTGGATGGGCAGGTGATTCTGGCCGAACCTTCTGCGGACCTGGGGCCGCCGCTTCCCAAGGCTGGATCTCGCCGGGAGAGGGGCGCGCGCTCTGCTCGGGAGCGGAAGTCCCAGCCCTGGCCCGAGGAAGTCCCCGGCAGCTGGAAGCCCAGGGCGGTGCTGGATAAGTTGAGGCTGAGCAGTTGTGAAATCTCAGCAACAGCTGAGGTTGTGAACAAGCTGGTGGACCACCTCCTACGTACAATGCAGAGCCACCCGTCTGCGTTCAAAGGTGTGAAGAAGCTGTGTACTGGGAGCTACTACGAGCAAGTGAAGGTGAGCTGGCAATCGCCTCCACTACTGTGCCCCAGGCGCGCGACCGTGCTTCCTCACCCCTCTCCCAGCCTCCCCGATATTCCCACCTCCCACAGTCCCTCACTTTCCTTTGGAAGCAGCTCCGACTGTAGTTCTTCAGTTCTAATTAAAACGACGAACAGTTGTGCGTCCGTTTATTCATCATTACATCCAACGATCATAGAGCTAGCGATTGTAAGACACTGCTATTGGGAGAATTCAAATGTATAGATTCATTCATGCAAGCAGACCTGTATTGTGTTTCTCTCACAGTGCTATCCTTGGTGGTTACTGGTCAGATCATGATTTTGATGATTAGGAGTGATCTGCGAAAAAATCCAAAAATTAATATATCCAAGAAACTTTTTTCTATGAGGACATATGTACTCCAAAGGAAAAATATTTCCAGTCCTCCCCTCCAGCCTTCGCAGACCCACTGTCTTACCAATTTCTTATAAGATATTATGGGAAGCTCACAGAGAGTGCTGTTAAAAGAAATTTAAGAGAAAAAACTCCTACAGATACTAAAAAGCATGCTTCCTAACCACACATCCACTGTAACTGTTTTTAAGTGTGTATTCCACAGCTCCATTTGTTTGTGGGTGGTTGTCATTCAAGTCATCACTCCAGTATAAATCAAAGGTTTGGGAGTAGGTTCCTGATTGGAGTTTGTTTTCTGAACAGTGGCAGTGGTGAAAGTGGACAGTCTTGCCTTGTTCTTGATCTTAAGGAAAACTGTTTCAGCCTTTTCTTATTGAGTATGATGATAGTTGTGGGTTTGTCATATACGGGCCTTCATTATGTTGACGTATGATCCCTTTACTCCCACTTTGCTCAGAGTTTTTAATCGTAAATGGATACTGGACTTTGCTTTTTTGCATTTATTGATATGATCATAAAGTTGGTACCCTTCACTTTGTTTATGTGGTGTATCATGTTGATTTGTGGATATTGAATTAACTTTGCATCCCAGGAAAAAAATACCACTTGATCAGGGTGTATAATATTTTCAATGTATTGCTGAATTTAGTTTCCTAATATTTTGTTGAGGATTTTTTGCATTTATGTTCATCAGGGATATTGTCCTAATTTTTTGTTTGTTTGTATGGTGTCTTTGTCTGGTTTGGGAATCAAGAGTAACAGTGACCTCATAAAATGAGCTTGGGAGCCTTCCCTCCTCATGAATGTTTTTGGAATAGTTCTTTTAAAAAATTATGTTTATTGATTTTAGAGAGAGAAACATCAATGTAAAAGTTGTTTCCCATATGTGCCCTGACCGTGAATCAAACCCTCAACCTAGGTATGTCCCTGACCTGGAATCGAACCCCCAACCTTTTGGTATATGAGACAATGCTCCGACAAACTGTGCCACACCAGCCAGGGCTGGAATAGTTTGAGAAGAATGGGTGTTAATTCTTCTTTGAATGTTCGGTAAAATTCCCCTGTAAAGCAATCTGGTCCAGGACCATTGTTTATTGGGAATTTTTTGATTACTGATTTGATTTAATTTTGTTGGTAGTAACTGGTCTGTTCAGATTTTCTTTTTCTTCTTGATTTAGTCTTGGAAGATTGTATGTTTCTAGCCATTTATTTATTTCTTTGAAATTGTCCAATTTGTTGTTATATACTGGTAATTGTTTATAGTATTTTCTTACACTCCTTTGTCTTTCTGTGATAATAGTTGTCACTTTTCTTTTGTTTCTACTTTTATTTACTTGGCTCCTCATTTTTTTCTTCTTTTACATTTAATTCATTTTCTTGAAATAACATAATTGAGGAACCTCAGATAACTGTATTTTGCCAGGCACAATAAGAACAAAATTAAAACCCCAGCATAAAGAAAACCTGACCTGTATTCCTGGCTTCCTTGCATACAGATGATGTGACTGTTGAGAGACAAGACTGACCAGTGGCCCCACTTTATAGGGGAGGCCCCACGGAAGATGAAAATCAGCATGATATAACACTGTCCCCTGAGAGGGCGGAGACTGGGAGGGGCAGGCCAGGCACCTCTTCTGGAAAACTATCCATCAGCATTGGAGACCTTCAAGAAAAATAAGTGTCCCCAGACTTGTGTTCCATAGTATGAACATACAAAGCCATGATCTCTACAGTCCTGGGCTCTTTCATGCATTATATGCAAACTTACTACTTGGGTGCCACACCACTATCTCTGAAGAAAAGCCCTTCCCGTGATAAACATTCCTAATAGGAGTTGATAATTCAAAATTCAAAATCCACATGTCCCCCCCATCAGGGCTGGTTTGCCTACCTTTATTTTTCCTCCAAGTACTTTTTGTTGCCCTAAAAACACTTGTTTGGCCGATAGCCAAGGTCCCATATCATATATTGCCATCAGCAGCCACTGGCTCATGTGGAAAAGGCTCAGGTTGTGAATATGGGGCATGCAGGTGGGGAGCAGGACAAACCAGCATTGTGAATGGCTTCCTTCTCTCAGGGTCTGAAAGGGTAGAAAAGAAGACAACATGAATCAGGCCCTGTGGCTACTCTAGAAGGTCCTTAGCAGCAGCTTCTTTGTAAAGGGAGCGGAAAGGGAACAGAAAGGTGGTGCCTGCTGACTCCCCTTCCTCCCCTGGTGGCTTCAGTGCCAGTGCAAAGTCAGCTAGAGGACAGGCAGTCAATTCCCTAGACTCTAGGGGGTGTGGTCTGCATACAGGCATTGATATCCTTGGTGTGGGACACGGGATGCAGGGATGGCTTAGAAGTGTTCTCGTTGATTTTCAGTAGAGTGTTGGAGCAGCTCAAATGCAAGACAGGATCTAGGGAAAGAGAGGTCTCTTTTCCTTACCTTTCTTCACAGAGTCAGCAACAAGCTGCTTCATTGCTTTGGGGCAGTTCTTATATAGCTTATTACTAAGGTCTGGGAGGCATACCCTCATCCCACTGTGAAGATAATCTGACCTTGGTTGTTGATGTGGGAATTAGGTATCTCCCCTGTCATGACTCATACAGTGCAATGCCATAGGAGTAGTTGTCAGACTAGAAGCTGGGTTATTATCCTACACCAGATCATGTCTGGGGCCATCCACAGTGTTGAGCCAATGGGTTGTTCAGTCTGCTGAGAAATGCTCTAGTGTGACTATACTGTTGCCAAACTAGAATCTCCAATTTTCACCATTAGGTCTTCATGGAGAAATGTATTGTTGGATTTCATGTCTCTGTGGATGATGTTCTTTGCATGCAAATAGTCCACTCCCTGAGCTGTCTATCTGGCGATGTCAGCTGGCTTCACACCATTGGGTCACAATCGCCAGGTTGTCCTTCATCATGTACCCCATGAAGAGCAGGATGTTCACGTGTTGTGTTTTGCACAGCACAGCCACCTCATTCCTGAAGGACTGGTACTGCTCTGGTGTGGGGTCAGCAACTTTTAGGATCTTTACTGCAATGTTTCGGAGCCACTTGCCCTTATAAACAGTCCCAGAGGAGCCTGACCCAATCCAAGTGGAGAGCATCACTTCACTGGCTTCTGTTTCCCAGTAATAGCTCCAATCTCTCCATCCACAAGGCCTAATTTTGTTTTGCTCCTGGGTCCTAAATCCTGGTGCCCAGTGTCTCTGTGCTGGTACTGGAGTTTTGGGCTCTAATGAGCCTGTTGGGCTCAGATTATTGGGGCTTGTGGACAAGGCTGAAGGTGAGGCTGATTCACTGTGACTTTGAATTGCATCCTTAATCATCCTGCCGTCCATAGACAGGGTGGTGCTGACCATGTGGACATTAGGTGTGGACATAAACCTCTGCCTAGGGGAGATGGAGTGTTCAGAGGAAGGCCTGGAGGTATAGAATGTGAAAGTGTGGGGTGTGGAGTACCTGTGCTGGGAACTGACAGGCGTCCAGGAAGTAGACTCTTGAATCCAATGCATTGTCAAAGAAGGCAGTGCTGAGACCCCTCTATCACTAATCGTGGAATTTGGAAAACAATGAGTTGTCTGACATTACCCCGGTCCACAACATAGTAAGTGTGTTGGTGCTACAGTGCTCATGACATCTGTAGCCATAAGTCTGACATGGAAATCCATTTAGCAGGGACTTCTGCTACATGTCACACAAGGCAGGCTTCAGGAAGATCTTCTGAACAAAGTTGTGTGTTGGGAGGGAAACATGATCCAGAAAATCTACTTGAATTTCTCCTGCAATCAATGAGGAAGCTTCATTATTCCAATCTAAACGTGATTTTTTATGTCTGTGTTGGCAGAGAAGTCTGGACACTGCACAGCACTCAGGTGCAGGCCACTTGCCCTGAGTGCTTTCCTAAGGCAGTCATGTAAGCTCAGACCATTTCATACATCGACCACTGTTCTTTGCTTGTTTGGCCAAAAAACATGAGTAGTCTTACTTGTCTTGATGCTTGGCTCTGATAGCCAAACTATTGAACTATTGTGGGCAATTGCAGCTCGGGCCATCAAACACTGAGTCTTTGTGTCCCAAACCATTGCTGATCATCTTCCAGGTCCCCTGTGTGTGCTCCATTGATGCAGCTTAAACAATACTTAAATCTGAGGGAGATGGCCCACCTCCATGTCCAGTCCATGGGCTGCTGAATCTGGCCCACTACCCATGTCCTCAGTGAGGGAGGGGTGATGGTCCCCAGCCCAGGGGATGGGCCTGGGCAACCCCCAATCATCATCATTGCACTCGTGTTCCTCTCAGTGCCTCAGGGCACACACCTGAAAAACCAGCCAGCTGGCCCTCTTTGGGGCCTGAAAAGAGCAGCAGGAGACCCTTTCTGTCTCAGGTTTCACACTTCTTCACATCTTACTCCCACCGTACCAGATGATGACCCCAGTGCCCACTACCTTATTGTTTTCTTGGTGACTTCGGTTAGCAAGGGTGTCTAACCCATAGCCCTCATGTGGCTCAGGATGGCTATGAATGCAGCCCAACAGAAAATCTTAATTTCTCTTAAAACATTACTTAGTTTTATTATTAAATTTTATACTGTTTTATCACTTAGATATGTACATTGTCTATGTTAGTGATTACAAACTTGGGACCTGCTCAGCGATTTTCAAAAATTGTCAAAAGAGCTGCTGCATAATTAGAGTTGTTATGGGAGGACTCTTTTGCTTCTCTGTGGTGGCAGGTATCACAAAAATTACACACAGACCTTTTTTCTGCTCATCAGTTTTCGTTAGTGTTTGTGTATTTAATGTGTGGCCTAAGACAACTCTTCTCCCAGTGTAGCCCAGAATTGCCAAAAGGTTGGACACCCCAGGGTTAAAGGTTTGTCAATCTTGTTTATCTTTTGAAAGAAGCAGCTCTTGATTTCATTGATCTTTTGTATTGTTTTCTTAGATTCTACTTTGTTTATTTCTGCTCTGATCTTTATTATTTTGTACCTTCTATTGACTTTGGGCTTTGTTTATTTTTCTTTTTCAGTTTCTATAGGTGTGTAAGATTCAATTGTTTATTTGAGATTTTTGTTACTTCTTGGGGTAGGCCTGTATTGCTATGAATTTCACTCTTTGGACAGCTTTCCCCATCTCCCATAGCTTTTGGGTCATTGTGTTTTCATTTATCTGAAGATATCTTTTGGTTTCTTCCTTCATCTCATTGTTAGGCCTTTCATTGTTTAGTTGCATGTTATTTAACTTCGATATGTTTGTATGTTGTTGGAGTCTGCCCTGCCTGGTCTCAGGAAGCTGTAACCCCCCATGGCTAAGGCTGAGTGAGAGACCTCTGGACCAGGAGCCACTAAGGAGACAAAACTTATTTCCCTGGCATGAATGCTGCCTGTTCTGTGCCTGGCCTCCAATGCTTGATCAGTTAGCCAATGACGGGTAAGATTTCCCAAGAGGGGAATCATCTGAGACAGGCATGATCACGTGGAGGCCTCAGGGAAGAGACTTGGGGCTGTGGAAATGAAGGGGTGATCAACATCGACCCCTGCCCCCTCGACTTTGTCAAAGCCTGAGTCCTTGTTCTTAGTTGTGAGAAATCCAAGTCTCCTGGCTGCCTTTGTCTCCTCTGCCTGACTCAGTACTGTGGAAATAACAGGGGCGGTGCAGTCCAGACCAGAGTCGGCGGACCCCCGGGGTAATTAGGCCTAGGACATAGAATATGCAAAATCCTGTGAGATCTGCTTACTGGAGGATGCTCTTAAATTACAATATGAAGGCACAGGCAGGAAACAAAACTAGCCTTTTAGGTCCTGTAGTCTTTTGAAGTGATAAAACCCCAAACTCTGCCCAGAATCCTAGCGGGAGTTCTGTCAGCACCTTTGAAAGTTACCTATTTCTTTTGATCTTCCCTGCCAGACTGTAATCCACAAACTGTGTCTGTATTCTTAATAAAAGCCTACGCAGGCAGGGACTCGGGGCGCTCTCCACTAGAGAGAGTGGCCGGTTCATCCCTATTTCCCCACAGGACTCGGTGCTCCCTGTGTATGTTTTTCTTGTGTTTTGATGAGTGTCCGCAGCAGGGATGGATACTGCTGGCCTGTATCCTCCACAGTATGTTTTTCAGGTTTTTCTTATAACTAATTTCTAGTTTCATACCATTGTGGTCAGAAAACATGCTTGATAGGATTTCACTCTTTTAAAATTTATTGTGATTGTTTCGTGTCCCAACATCGTCTATCCTAGAAAATATTCTATGTGCACTTGAAAAGAATGTATATTTTGTCCTGGCTTGTGTGGCTTAGTAGATTTAGCACCAGGCTGTAAACTGAAGGGTCACTGGTTTGATTCCCAGTCAGGACACATGCCTGGGTTGCAGATCAGGTCCCCTGTTTGGGGAGTGTGAGAGACTGTTGACTGAGGTTTCTCTCACAAATCAATGTTTCTGTCTTTCTCTCCCTTCCTTCTTCTCTTTCTGTCTCTAAAAATAGATAAATAAAACCTTAAAAAACACACACACAAAAGAATGTATATTCTGCTTCTTTGGGATGAGATGCCCTGAAGATAATCAGTTAAATCCATCTGGTCTAATGTGCCAGGTAAGGCCACTATTTTCTTGTTGATTTTCTGTCGGGATGATCTATCCATTGATGTCAACAGGGTGTTAAAGTCCCCTACTATGACTGTATTACTATTGATTTTTCCCTTTATATCCATCTATATTTGCTTTGTATATTTATGTGCTCCTATGTTGGGTGCATAAATGTTTACAAGGGTTATATCCTCTTATTGGATTGATCCCTTTATCATAATGTGATGTCCTTCCTCCTCTCTTATTACAGCTTTTATTTTAAAGTCTCTTCATGTGATATAAGCATTGCTATTTCAGTGGTGCAGTCTTTCTGGTTACCTGAACCAGATGCTTCAGGAGTGTCCCCTGTGTGAGTTGTGTGTGCCATCCTGTTGGTTGAGTCTTGATTGCTGTTGGTATATCAGTGGGTGGGAATGATGCTCAGGCTGACTCTGAAGATTGGCCATAACCAGAGTGTATAAGCTGCTGTGTAGAGGCTGACCCCAGTAGTGGAATTTGTCCCAGTAGGGTTTGGTGTCTGCTTAGCTACCCTTCACCTGCACTGCTTGTGGAGATAATTAACTGGGTGATGCTCTGTTGCGGTTTGAAGTCTGACACCGAGTGTGTTGGTTCTGGGGACTCGGGAGGGGGTCCAGTACTGGGCCAGTGTCAGAAGCTGCCTGGGTTGGGCCTGGATGCCTGTAAGGGAGGCCTACTGTGAACCGAGGCCAACTGCCACCAGTACTGGGCCTGGGGGAGAGCAGCAAAAGACACCAGACACCTTAGTACTACCACCACCTGCCAGCTGCCTGTAAGACTCAGCAGATGAAAAGTCTTGGGCAGCATTCAAGTTGGATGGGGCATGGTCTCAGGGACACAGCAGGCTGGGGCAAGTGCTGTTTCCCAGGTTAATGCAGATTCAGATTTGGCACCAGTGCTGAGCCTGAGGCCTCTCAGCAAAAGTCTCATGGTGCACTGAGGGCAGCCGCCACCCGCTTGGGGGCCTATGGACCTTTGTGGTGGGGGCAGGCAGGGTTCTGGCAGCCATCAGGGTAGTGCTAGTGAAGGTTTGGTCATATGGGGAGAGGGTTCAACACAGGGCCAACAGCAGCTGTCCCTGCCATCCATGCAGCCCTAGTTCTGAAGCCCTAGTTCTGAAGCCTCCTGCTTGTCTCTGGTGCCCCGTGAGCTGCTGCCCCTCTGCCAGAGCACAGGGTGAGTGCCTGTGAGTGAGAGTCTGTGCCAGCTCTTTAAGGGGATGCCTGGGTTTAAGCAGCATTCCATCTCACCCAGATGGATCGAATCCCCACTGATTTTCACAGTCAGATGTTATGTGGGCTCCTCTTCCTGGCACTGATATTCTTGGCTGGGGAGCCTGGCATGGGGCTGAGATCCCTCACTCCTCAGGGGGGGAACCTCTGCAGCTGAGACAGCCCTCCAGACTCCCTGCTGCCACACGTGGGCATGAGGCCAGCCCATTTCATGTCTTTGCCCCTCCTGCCAGTCTCAACGTGGCTTCTTCTTTATATCCTTAGTTACAGGACTTCTGTCTAGGTAGTCTTCAGATGGTCCTGCAGGTTGACTGTTCTATAATTTAGTAGTGATTTTGATGTGGTCATGAGAGGGGGTGAGTACAGTATCCACCTGCTCCTCCGTCTTGACCAGAACCATTGAGCCATTTTTCTTTTTCTTTTTAAAAACTTTTGTATTCAGCCATTTTTCTTAAATAAATCCTCCTTGAATCATCACAAACCTGTAGTCAGTTAATTTACGGGATTTGGGAAGAGTTGAATTAGACCATTTCTGCTCATGTTTCTTACTGCTTTTATGGAAAAGTGTATTTTCAGACTCTGAATTTATTCCCACTGACATCACTTTAAGTGTTATGCTTTAACGGTATGTCTTCGTCGGGTGGGGCTCCCCCAACAAAATGCTATAGCCTGGGTGGCTTAAACAACAGAAATTTATTTCTCTCAGTTCAGGAGGCAACAGGGTTCGGTTCTGGTGAGGACTCTCTCCCTGGGAGATGGCACCCTCTCCCTGGGTCCTCGCTGTGTTCTTGCTGTGTGGGCACAGAGAGTGCGGTCTTTCCCTTCCTCTTCCTATCAAGTCAACAGTCCTACCAGATTAGAACCCCACCCTCATGATCTCATTTAACCTTAATTACATCCTGAAAGTTCTGTTTCCAGGTACAGACACATTGGGGGTTAGAGGTTCAATATATGAGTTTTGGGGGGAGAGTTATACACCACAGCACATCTCAGTTTGGAGTAGCAACATTCCATTTGGTCCGTAGACAGAGGCTACCAGATGCCGTGTTGAACAGTGCAGTCAGTAGCTGCACGTGAAGCACACTCCTACCTAGAAGAAGATTGCAGCGTTTTCATATAGTACAGACGAGCATTTGTTATGATTGTTTTAATCATTGTTATTGTGAGAATGGAAAAGGTTCTTCGAAGGTCGTACAAATGCTGTGGTCCTAAGACACTAATAATGTTCATGACTTGGAGCTCCCACTCACTGGGGTGACCAGTCGATGCAGGAAGGTGGCACCTGCGCCAGGACCACAGGTGAGGACACACGTGTTTGAGACCATTGTGATGGGAGGGTGACTGCAGTGTGTGTCTCTCGATGTAGAAGCCAGCACCTTAGTCGTCTTTAATATTATAAAGCCTTAAACTCAGACTCAAACCAGTACAGGTTTTAAAAGCTTACATGCTATCATTTAAAACTGTTTTAAATTACAAAAAGTCATTCGTACTCATGGTGACAAAAAACAATGAATAGAGAAACTACAAACTAAAACCAATAATACTCTCCCAGTCCACTAGCCCCATTCCCAAAGGGTGTAAATAGTAAGAGTCTTGCTTTGAAAAATTTTAAGAGAATTATAGTTGCTGCAAAATATTCACAAGCCAACATTTCACTGCTGCTTTTACTTTGTCTTAGGTCTCTTCTCCTAATGAATTTGATATTATGTTCAAACTGGATGTCCCCAGAATTGAGCTGGAAGAATATCACAACAGTGGTGCCCATTACTTTGTGAAGTTCAAAAGAAATCCCAAAGGAAATCCTCTGAGTCAGTTTTTAGAAAATGAAGTATTATCAGCTTCAAAGATGCTGTCTAAGTTTAGGGAAATCATTAAGGAAGAAATCAAAAACATTGAAGGTAAGATTTTTGACTTTTGATTCTTAAAGGTCAAATCATACCTACTAATTGTCAATGTATGCTCCTCTCCTGATCTTTGTTGCCCTCCCTGCGACACACTGTTGACTACCACCTCCTAGCAATAACTCTTTGCTTTTGATTTTATTCTACTACATTTTGTCGGTATTCGTTTACAGTGTTGATTGGCTCTGTCTTGGTCTCCATTGAGTGTATTCACTGAGCACATGTGGCTGAATGAAATCACGGCATCCCCCCTGGAAGCCCGAAACTTGTACCCACAAATTGCAGCGGGTTTTCTGAAGGGAATGAACTGGGAGAAATGGTAGCAATTTGCATGGTGGAGCAAGGCCCTGAGGCAGCAAAGAGGTTGGCAAGCTCAGGAAGCAAGAAGAGGCCCAGTGAACAAGGGGAAGAGTGATGTGAAATGAAGTGGAAGAGAGTCCAGGGACCAGGTGTAGTCAGGATTTGTTATTTAAGAAACTATAATAAGCAATTAGAAAAAATATCTGCCCTTGGCTGGACTTGTAGATCCTGGACTGGAGTTCAGATCTTATTACATGTTCACTGAGAAGCCAGGTTTTAATAACAAAATAAGGATTGGGTTTGTATTTTTACAACTTGACTCTGGCTTCTAAGGAGAAGATGTTGTAAGAAGGCAAATAAGATTAGAAATGAAAATACTGTGACAGTTCAAATGAAAGATGTGGGTGGGGTGGGGTGGGGTGATGGGGCTGGAGGGAGGCAGACACAGCCCAGCTGTGACTAAGTGCAGGGGTGAGAGGAGCTGGGGACTGGAAAGGGCTCCCAGGTGTCTGGATGGAGCACCTGTGTAGACTGTGTCCTTTACTAAGATATGATGGGGGAGGAGGAGCGCATTTTGGGGAGTAAATGAAGAGCAGGCTTTGCACATGTTAAGTTAGAGACTCCTGTGATGTTCAAGTGAATGTGTCAAGAATGTATGTGCATATGGGTTTGGAGTTCAGGGGATACATTTGGGCTGCATGTCAACATATATGTGGTATTGGGAAAGGATGAGATCACTTAGGCAGAGAGTGTGGATTAATTTATTCATTAATTTAATCAATATTCATTGATTATGTACTGTGACAGGGGTCTAGATGTTTGGCATATATTAACAAACAAATAGAATAGACCCTCACCCTTCTGTACTTTATAATGACATGAGGGCAGATATGTAACTAATAACAAATGGAAAACATAATTATCTTGCGTATTCGAAAGTAGTTAAGTTCTGTGGGGAAAAGTATAGCAGGGTGAGAGGGGTCAGGATGGGAGAAATTGGAATGTTAAGTAGAGGGGTAGGAAGAGGATCCCATTAGAAGTTGGGGGGAAGAGAAGGAGCCAGATGAGACAAGTGTTTACAGGAGGAGTGGCCAGTTTCTAGAATGCTGCTGGCATTGAGGAAAGCATTGGATTTGGTCTTTGGTTTTGTGGGATTGCTGGGAACTTTGACTTAGCAGTTTCAGGAGGGTCATGAGCACACAAGGGAAAAAGGGCAGGGATGCAGTAGAGACAGCATGCGTAGGCAATTCTAGAAAGTTTTGGTTGAGAGAGAAGTAGAGAGATGGGTAAGTATGGGGATGAGGCTGATGTAGAGTAAAGGAGAGGAATATTTTGGAATGAGAAACACTGGGACCCTTTGTGTGCACTTAGAAATGATCCAGCAGTGCAGGGGAGTCCACTGATGCAGGAGTGGGAACAACTGAAGGGGGTAAGATGCTTGAGGAAGTGAGGATCCAGAGGCCATGTGCAGGGTGGCCTTGAAAGATGCACGGACACTTCCTAGGTGGTCATAGAAGGAAGAAGGGTATGATGGGTAAGGTGAGAGTAGGTTTGCAGGTGTATGATAAGAAAACGAGAGTGTTCTGTAGGCTTTTCTCCTTGGTGATCTATCCTCTTTCTCACTGTGGTTTCTTCCAGAAGTCTTATCTGGGAGAATCTTTAGCTATTGCTTGTACACCCCCAAATCCCAAAGCCAGTATCTGTCATCTGGAGGTCTTTCCTGAATTTCTGACCACCATAACTACTTGCCCTGTGGCCACCTCCTCTTGGTTGTCCCCCAGGCTCGTAGAGCTCAGTGTGTCTGAAAGGAAGCTCCTGCTCAGTCTAGTCTGTATTGGAAAATGGAAACAGCACCAGTCCTTTCCGGAGCTGAAACCCTGCAGCGCATGCCAGGACTCCTGCCTTCTCCCTTGTCTCTTAGGTTCAGTCTGTTTGCCAGTGCTGCTGACTTGAATCTCTTTAATTGTTCTCATTTCTGCTTCCTGTGTCTGAAAAAAAATAAAACCCTTTATGTAATATGTGCAATGTGATGTTTTAATATACATATACATAGTGAAATGATTTCTACAGACAAGCTAATTAACATGCCATGTCACATAGTTAGCTCTTTTTGTGTGTGGTGAGAGTACCTGAAACCTACTCTCTTAGCGCAGTATTTAATTCTGTGCTGGTTCCAGTGTGCGGATGTAGTATTAATGCCGGGCATCATGCTGTGCATTAGCTATCTAGACTCACCTTCCTAACTGCCCCTTTGTTCCCTTCCATCAACATCTCCCATTTCCCCCACTGCCCCACCTCTGTCTGTAGACCACCATGCCGCTCTCTGCTTCTGTGTTTTCTACTTTTTTAGATTTCACATATAAGTGAGGTCATGCAACATTTGCCTTTCTGTGTCTGGCTTATTTTCTCCAGGTTCATCCATGCTGTCACATATGCCAGGGTCTCTTTATATGTGAAAACTGAATACTGTCCCATTGTATATACAGACATACCTCAGCTTATTCCTCTTCTGTTTATTTCACTTCAGATAATGCGTTTTTATAAATTGAAGGTTTGTGGCAGCTCTGCACCAAGCAAGTCTGTTGGTGCTATTTTTCCAACATGCTCAGATGATGCTTTAGCAGTGTTTAGCAGTAAACTATTTAATTAAGGCATGTACATGGGTTTTTAGACATAATGCTTGTGCACATTTAATTGACTACAGTATAGTGTAAAGATAACTTCTATTTTGCTGGGAAACCAAAAAATTCATGTGACTTGCTTTATTGCAATATTTACTTCATTGCAATGGTCTGCAATATCTCCAAGGTGTGCCTATATATTCCACAATTCCTTTTTTTAATTTTTTAAATTGTTTTCCAAGTACAGTTGTCTCCATTTTCCTTCCACCACTCCCCCCCAGTCCACAGATACCCATCTCCCACCCTCCATCCTACCCCCCTTCCACAATGTCTTTATCCATTCACCCATGGATGGACTCCTAGGTCATTGCCATTATTGCCTGTGATGAGTCATGCCGCAGTGACTCAGGCTTTGCTCCCTGTGTCTTCGTGCCCCCTGGCTCTGTGCTACCGCAGGCTCCCAGGCTCCTGTGCGGCCATGGCTGTGGTCTTTTTTCCCTCCCTCATGTTTTCCTCTGTGGTCTTCTTGATCACCTTGCTCCTTCCTGCTGCCCATCTGGCCTGTTTTCCAGGCTTCCCTCCAAACTGCCACTCACCAATGTAAATGAAAATTTAATCAAAGCATTCCCAGAGCCCGAAGTCTTCAGGCACTCCCATCATGCATGCCAGACAGATTCTCGACAGAGCCTCCCGCCGTGACAGTGCCAGGGAGTGCTGGTTGAGCGAGTGAAACACCTTGCCTTAGGGGTCAGTTTCTGCTTTCAAACTACTTTTCTCCTTAACACTCTATAGATCTCCAATTAAAGTTTTATTGTTTTTCCTCTGTTTTTAAGAAATTAGATTGATAAATCCTTTTTTTTTTCCTTTTATATATTTAAACAGATCTAGATGTCATTATGGAGAGGAAGAAGAGAGGGTGTCCTGCTGTAACACTTCTTATTAGAAAACCTAAAGAAATATCTGTGGATATAATCTTGGCTTTGCAAGTGAAAAGCAGCTGGCCCGCGAGCACCCTGGAAGGCCTGTGCATCCAAGGCTGGCTTGGAAGGAAAGTTAGGAGAGACCTGAGACTGCAGCCATTTTATCTGGTACCCAAGCATGCAAAGGAAGAAGGCCATTTTCAAGGTGTCTTGAATGTGACAGTGAATTTCTTTAAAGACATAAGAAAAGTCGTTGATGTTATACACAAGAGCTATAATAAAAGATCAGCTATTGCTCTTGGCATTTCAAGAGTCATCAGGCTCTTGAACTCTCAGTAGGCTACAAGACGAGAGTTTGGTGAAAAGATGGAATTGCAGAGGGCATAGTGGTAGTCATGATATCGAATATTCAGCTTGAAATGTCTGCCAGCCCACATTTGAGTGTTATCTGTTTCATTTGTTTCTGAAAAAGAAAGGCAGTGCTGGCCTTGGAGTCAGACTGCTCTGGGTCTGGGTCCTGAGACCTCTCTTCCCAGATGTGTGATCTGTGGCCAGTTACCAAGCCTCTCTAAATGACACTTTATTCACATTTCTTAGTTTTCACCTATGTCCTTGTTCTGTCGAGGGTCCCATCTAGGACACCACATTACATTTCATCGTCGTGTCCCCTTAGGCTCCTCTTGACTGTAACACTTTCGTCAGCCTTGCCTTGTTCTTGTTCTTGACGGCCTTGGCAGTTTGAGGCACACTCATCAGGCATTTTGTAGCATGCCCCTCTTACGGCATGTGCCTGATGTTTTTGCTATGATTAGACAGGAGCGGTAATGTGCCATTTTCTTCACACCATATTAAGGAAACGTGTCATGAACATGAGTCAGCACTGTCAATGATGATCTTGATCAGCTGGCTGAGGTCGTGTTTTCAGGTTTCTACACTGTTAAGTTACTCGTTTCCCTCCTTTTCATTTTGTACTGTTTGGAAGGCTGTCACTTTGCACAGCTCACACTGAAAGAGTGGGGATTGTGCTCCACCTCTTGAAGAGCAAAGTATTTACACAAATGTTTTGGAATTCTTCTGCATGGAAGATTTGTCTCTTCTTCCCCTTCTATTAACTTACTTACTCACTTATATCAACAAGGATTCATAGACATTTGTTTTATATTTTGGGCTATAATGCAGTGCCACTTTAGTAATTGTATTGCTTTGATTGTCTGAGCTTTGGCCTTCAGGAGCTCTTTTCACTTGGTTCCCTGTGGCCTTTGGACATGCCCCCAAATTGGGGGTGGGGTTGTTTTTTGTTTTGTTTTCAGCACTCACTCACTTTCTGGCTGTTCAAGATGCTTCAGGCACATGTTGTATATTTCCTGTGTCAGTCCTAGAATCAGTGGTTTCTCCAGGGAGCCCTGGATCCTTTTGTTGGAGGATGTCCTAGAAACCACAAACTGGGTGTTGTGTGTGTGAGTGTTCTGTCAACCCTCTGGGCTGAAGGAACAAGGAAATATATGTACGTGTACTAATCCCACTCTAAACCCTATCTCTAAATATTTTATATGTATCTACCTGTTGTCTATATTATCATGCATGAGTTCATACTGTCTAATTAGATTCCATTACCATGTGGCTCATTCTTTCTGTGCTTGCTGTCTGGCACTTCTCATTCCATCAATGGAATACCTGACTCCCTATTTACTTAGTTGTCCAGTTCTCACACACATGTAGGTCTTTCCAAGTATAAAGCCATTGCTCCCTGGGAAACAGGTATCGATTTCAGTGCAGTGCTGACACACAGTTGTTTACCTTCAGTCTTACCCCATTTTCAAAGTGACTTAGGACGACGCCTTTTGTCCCACCCCTTTCAGGAAGGATGTTTTGTACTTCTGTAATGCTATTAGAGTCCCTTTTCACAGTCTGCATATTTTTGGGGATCCCTTGACCTCCTAAATCATTTTTACATGTTTACATACATTAAGGTTCATTCTTTCTGCTACAAAGCTCTACTGGTTTTGATGAGTGCATTGTATCACGTATCTGCCCTCACACAGTAGTTTCAGTGCCCTAAAAAGTCTCCTGCGCTTCACCTATGCAACCCTTCCCATTCCGAACTTCTGGCAACCACTGTCTGTCTGCCATCTCTGTAGTTTTGCCTTTTCTGGAGTGGCATAAGTGAACGTCGTAAATGGATTCACACAGGAGCAATGAGCAGCACATCTGGCTCAGTGCCTCCTTTTCCATATATTCCTTGTCCATGTAGTGGAGAGCTTTACACACTCTTTATTCCGTTCTATTAAAATCTTTGCCCACCCTTTCTCTATACTATATCTGTCACACTGTAGTATACTGTAAGTCTTAATACCTGGTAGGGCAAGTTTTCTCACTTTGTCTTTCCTCATGAGTGTTTTAGATATTCTTGACAGTTCATATTCTCATAAAAATGTTAATATCATATTGTCAGGTTCCACAAAACTTGGAATTTTGATTGAGAGTACATTGAAGCTATAGATAAATTTGGAAAGACTTGATGTGTCTTCCAGTTCATGGTCAGGTGCATCTCTCCATTTTTGGAGTTGGTGAAAAAGTTTGTTTTTTTTCCTGGACAATTGCTCTAGTAGTGCTTAGTTGTCTTTAACGTCATTCCAAATGTATTGTTAGATTGTATCGTGACAGCTGTCATATCAGCCTGAATTAAAAAAAAACTTATGAAAATTGGTGAATTTTGTGTGGCCATTTTATTTCTTAAGTTTTAAAATTCTTTTTAAAAGGTTTTATTTATTCAGTTTTAGAGAGAGGGGAATGGAGGGAGAAAAAGAGGGAGGGAAATACCAATGTGTGGTTGCCTTCCTATACCTGCACTGGGGACTGTAGGTTCGCAGGCTGGCATTCAATCCACTGAGCCATACCAGCTATGGAAATTCTTATTTTCATTGGTAAAGATTTTATTTATATTTTAGAGAGAGGAGATGGGAGGGAGAGAAACACCAATCAGTTGCCTCTTGCACACCCCCTACCAGAGACCTGGCCTGAAACCCAGGCCTGTGCTCTGACTGGGAATCAAAGCAGTGACCTTTCAGTTCTCAGGCTGGTACTCCACCCACTGAGCCACGCCAGCCAAGGCATTGTGCAGTGATTTTAATATTGAAGGTGGAATAAAATATTCAATATTTTCAACGTATTATGCTTTATTATTTCAAGAAAGCTCAAAATGCAACTGAAACACAGAAAAAGGGTTTGTGTGGTGTATGGAGAAGGTGTTGTGATGTGTCAGAATTGGTTTGTGAAGTTTCTTGGTACTATTGACATTTTGGCCAAATAATGCTTTTCTGGGGGGCTTTCTTATGCATTGGAGGATGTTTAGCAGCACCCTGGCCTCTACCCACTAAAAGCCAATAGTGGGAGGTAGCTGATATACTGAAAATATCCAAATCAGTAAAGTTACTTGTGAAAGTAAAAGATGTGTCTTTTATTTTACCAAAAAAAAAAAAACGAAACAGATTTTTTTGGCCAACCCAGTATTTAGATTTCCTCTGATACTTATCAGTGAAGTTTTAGAGTTTTGTCCACAGAAGTTTTGTATGTCTTTTCTTAGATTTACTCATAGAGAATTGTAACTTCTTAGTATTAAAATTTTCAACCAATAGGAAATTAGACTGAAGAATATTTTTTAACCCTCACCGAGGATGTGCTTATTGGTTTTAGAGAGAGAGGTAAGGGGAGAGAGAGACAAACATGGATGTAATTGGTTGCCTCCTGTACATGCCCCAACTGAGAATCAAACCTGGGACCTGGGTGTGTGTCCTGACGGGGGATGGAACCCCAACCTGTACTTGGAGGGGCCCATGCTGCAACCAACCGAGCCGCCCGGCCAGGGCTGTAAACTGAAGAATGCACTGAACTCACACATACCTGTCACCCAGCTTCTTTTTCTTTTCTTCATACACAGTTCTGTCATCTCTCAATAATGACAGCTTTGTTTCCCTCCTTCCAGCCTATACCCCATGTTCTGCTCCCTAGGAGAGCCAGTTCAACAGAAAGAGGAATAGCAAACATCCTGTCTTCCTGATTTCAAAGGAAAAACCTCAGTGTTTTACTTTACATTACCCTGTTGCTGTGTTCTTTTTTCACTCTGTCTTCCAGCAGATCCAATTTCCATGCAGATTTAAATAGCTGAGAGGTTTTTTTTTAAAATGATGAATAAATGTTAAATTTCATTACCTGCATGTTCTGTTTGTTGAGAACAGATCTGTGTCTCCTCGATCTGTTAATGTGACAGATTATACTCATTTTTAAATTATAAGTCAGTCATGCATTTCTGGTGTAAAACCATCTAGGTTGTAGGATGGCTGGAGCTTCAGAGAGCTAGCCATGGTGAAACTTGGGGGGAGGAGGGGAAATCTGTTCTCACAGAAACTCTCCCAAGGAACAGAAGTGTCTCCTAATTCATTTTACATGAATGCCAAAACTTGGAAAGGATGGTTTAAATTTTTTGAATCAATTGATTCTAATTATTATTGAAACAAAATATTAACAAGCTGATTTTTGCAATGTATAGAAGGTAATGCATCTTACATGGCTAACTATATGAAGCCCCCTCCCACCATTTTTTCTTATCTCAGTCCATTGTTTGCTTCAAATGACTTGTTTTAAAATGTAATTGCATTATTTATCTGTTCACTTCCTTGGGACTCTCTTCTAGAAATTTTTGAGAATGATATTTTAATGAACAAAGTCACTTATATGTTGTATTGTTTGTATGTGGACGTTTTTAGTAACGTGCTTTTCTGTTTTTCTTTTGGAAATTAAGAGGACACCTGGCGGCTATCCTTCTCTCACATTGAAAAGGACATTTTGAAAAATCACGGACAATGTAAAACATGCTGTGAAACTGATGGCGTGAGATGTTGCAGGTACCTTCTTATTTTGTTCGATGAGGGCTTATGTATGGAATGTCTTTTTAATTGACTCCATAACTCAGACCTAAAGATGATCATTGCTGGGTGAGTCCTGAGGTGAGCCCGTGGCTGGACCCACCTGGAGCATCATCTAGAGGGTGCGCATGAAACCAGGGAAGCCAGCTCCAAGGGACCAAGGGAGAGTGTTGTTAGAAGTCAAGGCCAGGGACCATAGTCCTGAACCCGGATCAGATGGATGTATCAGGAGAACAGAAGAAGAGGGTGTGAACACCAGCCATGAGTAGCCATGACAGCTGGTTGTGTCTCAGTATTCTGGTTGCTTCAGGTAATGAATGCTAATGTCCTGCAACAGGAAGGCACCAGAGGTTCACTCCTCTGGATCCTGGTGCTTGCGTTGAGATGGTTTTACTATACTGAAGGCCAGGGACTGACTGGCTAAATTTGAAACAACACTGAGAGACGGGCAGTTATTTTTCTTGGTGGCACACACACCATAAAGAAATGAGAGTGAAAGGGAATTGTTCATGTGAGTTTCTCAGGTTGCCCAGTATAATGGTCACAAAAGTTAAAAGGCCAGAGCATTATGCTAAGTGACATAAGCCAGGCAGTGAAAGACAAATACCATATGATCTCACCTATAAGTGAAACCTTATCAACACAACAAGCAAGCGAGCAAAATATAACCAGAAACATTGAAATACGAACAAACTGACATTAACCAAAGAGGAGGAGGGAAGGTATAAGGGGGGGAAATAGGGAAGGGTCATCAAGGAACCTGTACAAAGGACACATGGACAAAGGCAAGGGCAGGTAGGATCTAGGGAGGGATGGGGGGTGGGGGGAATGGTGGGGAGAAATGGAGACAACAGCACTTGAACAACAATAAAAATATCGCTGATAAATAAACAAATATAATTTAAATACCATGTTAAAAATCATTGTAATAACCAATACACTATTTTTCATTTAAAAATAAAAAGGTCAGAACAAGAAAGCCCAACAAGCAGGCACAGGAGGCTCTTCAAGGCATCGCATGCAGGCCTTGGAGCCAGCAGTGAGAAAGATGTTTGCTCATGTGGTTACATATTTTTGACAACATTAACTTTTGTTAACTGCTAAATAACTGGATGGGTAATATAAATATTTGTAGCCTAACAAAGCAAAATGATTGGCTGAATAATTTAAATCTCTGCCAGTTTCACAGTTGAATTAATCCTGATTCAATAAAATATTTAAGTTAGGAATGGGGAAGTGGAGAGAAAAATATGTTCTTGAGATTTTATATATTTGAAGACATAGGTTTTAGAGTAACTATAATTATATTTCTATTTCTTTATTTTTTGTGTCTTTATATGAATTATACTATCTGCATTGTTTATTGTATCTTCCTGGAAGATGCTTAAAGCTCTTCTTGGAATGAAGGATGTTGTAAATAAGTAAAAGTCAATGGTTTTCTTTTTTTATTCAACAGGAAAGATTGTTTAAAACTGATGAAGTATCTTTTAGAACAACTGAAAAAGAAACATGGACACCGAAAGGAACTGAAGAAATTCTGTTCTTATCATGTGAAAACTGCCTTCTTTCATGCATGCACCCATCACCCAGAAGACAGTCAGTGGCAGCCCGGAGACCTGGAGCTCTGCTTTGACCGGTGTCTGGAGGGTTTCCTTCAGTGTCTCAGGGAGGAACATCTTACTAATTATTTTATTCCTGGACACAATCTATTCTCTCAAGACAAAGTTGACAAAATAAGTAGAGAATTTCTGTTAAAGGAAATTGAATATGAAAGAAACAATGGATTTCCAGTTTTTAAAGAATCTTGAAATTATATTTTTAAAAAGAGTAAAGAATTCAAGGAACTTTATAATAATTGGAATGTTTGAAATTTGTCACAGCAATGATTGATGAAAATGAGTGTAAACAACTATTTAACTCCATTTGTCTTAATAAACTCTATTATAAAAGGCTTGATTGTTTTGGGAAAAGAAATTAGTCAAGGAATACAAAGCAAAAAGAGTATTTAAAATCTAAAAGCTTTACCAGATTGGAATGAAAAGGACAAAATACGTATCAGTTAAAGTTGTCAAGCACTTATTGAACAAACACCGCTTTTTCTTATTACCACCTTTCTCTTGGCACAAATGTGCAGAAGGTTGCAGAAGACAGTAGTAGAAATGATCACAGCCTCCATTAAACTGGTGGGCTTTGTTCAACATACAAATATATTTGGAAGTGGTGCCCTGTCCTCAGTGTTAGGATAGGTAAGATTGAAATGAAGAAATAAGTTCTACATTGTCTTTACATGTCTCAGGAAATTTGTAATCTTACAGGAAAATATTAAGTTAATACATGTGGGTAAATAGAAAAGATGTATTTTTAGTAACACTTTTATATATGTTTCTGGAAAGGTGATACATAACATGGTATGAAACTGAAACAGGTGTGGAATAAAATGTCACCCTTTCTTCTCTGTGCTCAGACAGCATTTTAACTTAGAGGCAGTTGCTGTTTCTTTACTAAACTGAAAGGTTGTAGGTAAGATTCCCGGTCAGGACTTTTGCCTTGGCTGCAGGTTCTGTCCACCCTGGAGCACCTAAAGGAGGCAGCTGATCAATGTTTCTGTCATCGATGTTTCTCTTTCTCCCTTCCCCTTCCTAAAATCAATATGGATGTCTGCAGGTGAGGATTTAAAAGAATTATTGGTGGAGATTTCCTTTTGGTCTAGTATGTAGGTGCCTCCCTCTGGAGAGGATTTGTTTGCATTTGCCAGGCTTCTGGGGGACATCAGCAGTCAGCAAAAGAAGCTCCTCAAATCAGGAGTACTTCAGATTTCTCAGACCACCGAGGTAGTATGAACCTGGGCTGCACATCTGGAACGACAGAACTGCCTCATTCTTTCTGGTGTTTGCATTTTGTTCCACTGCAGCGTTCAGATTGTTGTTATTTTCTAGAGATTTTATTTAGGTACTGAAGGGACAATGGCTTGATTTAATGCTATTTTTCAGTTTTGATACCAGTTATGCTAGCTTTATAAACTGAGCTTTCTAAAACTCATCTTTTTTAACGTTCTGGTATGCAGGACTTACTCGCTTGTTGAAGGTGTCTGATTACCTTTCGTGTTTCTTCTGTTTTGTCTGTTCAGGTTAATGACCTGAGTTAATTTTGGTAACTTGGGAAAATATAGTCAAGCTTTTGAACTCCTGGTTGCTGAAATAATGTTATGTACACTGTTCTTAAAATTTTAGGCCCCTGTTTCCCTCAGGTACTTAGAGTGGGGACAGCTGATCTCCCCAGCCACTCAGACTTGCCAGACATTTGTCTGTTTGGTGGGTCTTACTGAAGAGCCAGGTGTGGATTTTCACTGAGCCCTGTATTTTTTAATTCATTAATTTATGCTTTTACCTTTATTTCCTTTCTGTTTTCTTACTAATCTTATTAATGCCATACCTGGAAACTATTACTGCAGGAATAATGTAAGATGAGATGCTGAAGACCTAACTATATACAAATATAAGTACCTGTATGAGCACTAAATGTTAATTGAAGCAGCTGTCATATGTGGAACACAGGACACTGTACACGAAACTGTAAGGGAAAGTTGGGGAGTCTCATCAGTCAAAGAAGCTTTCATGCAAATGAATGACTTTCCTAGGATTCATTTTAGCATGGAGCTGTGGGCTAAAATGTAAGAAACAACTGTTGCCTATTTTGTCCCCACGAAACTTTTACTGTGTCATTTCAAAGTAGGGGAAGTGTGATCACTTAAGGAAGGAACCCCCGAATGAAATACTCTTCAGTAAACACAGAATTAAAGGGCTGTGCATGAAGACAGAGACAGCTGACCTTTATATCATAGACAAATCTTTATTTGTTAACAGTCTTTTTCATTGGCATGACAGTATGCAAACAACCTTTAACCCTTTACAGATTTTCCTCAATACAGCAACATTACAGGAGACAACCTTTACTTTTATATTTTTTTAAATAAAAATAGTAAAAGGTGAAAAAAAGCTTAATGGTACATTCCTTAATATGCATGAAAAAAGATTTTCAAGTTAAATACTTTTGATTTTTATTAAAGAAAGTATAACATCTTCAATTCTACATTTAAAACACTGTTGTATTAAGAACTAGTCAGGTCTTTTCAAACACTGCCGGCACGTCTCCACACTTCCCATAGTTTAGTGTATCTCCAAAGAACCTGAATTCTGAAAAATAAGTAGTAAAAAACATAAACTGCTGTTCCCAAATCTTTTAAAACACTTTTAATTGTGATGAAATACATAACAAAACTTAACCATCCTAACCATTTTTAAGTAATGATTCAGTAGTGTTAAAGTGTTAAGATATATTCTTTGTTCTACAACCAATCTGCAGAATTTCTTTTCATTTTCAGTGAATTTATTGGGATGACACTGGTCAACAAAGTTACCTAGAACTCTTTCATCTTGCTAAACCAGACCTCTATACCCAGTAAACATTTCCCCATTACCCTCCTCCCACCAGCTCCTGGCAACCACCATTCTACTTTGTCACTCTTCATCAGCTACCCTAGACCCCATGTAAGTGGCATCACACGGTATTTGTGCTCACTCAGCATAATATCCTTTCACATAATGTCCTCAAGGGTCATCCATTCTGTGTCGTGTGTCAGAATTTCCTCTTACACACCACTTTGTTTATCCATTCATTCACAGCGGGGCTGCCGCCACCTTTTGGCTATTATGAATAAGGCTGCTATGCACACAGGTGTACAAATACCTTTGAGGGAGCCTGCTTTCAAATCGTTTGGATGTATACTCAGAAGTAGGTTTGCTGGGTTGTAGTTTTAATTTTTGAGGAGCTGCCATATTTTGGATTAGGGATGCACTGTTTTACAATCCCACCAACAGTGCACAAGAGTTGTGGTTTCTCCACATCCTCGCCCAACACATACATCCCTCATGGGTGTGAAGTAATTTTCTTGTGGTTTGGATTTGCATTTCCCCAGTGATGAAACTGAGCACCTTTTCATATGTTTCTTGGCCATTCATACGGGGTTGGGCAAACATAGGCAAAAGTATGGGAAATATTATAATAATTAGTACATACTAATACAAAAGTAAACTGTTTTATGTACTCACAACTGTAGGCCTACTTTTGCCCCATGCTGTATATCTTCTCTGGAGAAATGTCTGTTCAAATCTTTTGCTCATTTTTAGTGGGGTTGTTTGTTTCTGTTCAGTTTTAGGAGTTCTCTATATTGTGCATATTAATTCCTAACCAGAAATAGGATTTACAAAAATATTTTCTCCATAGTTTATTCATAAGGTGCCCTACTGGACATTTAGATAATAGTCTTTTCCAACTACAAATAATGCTGTAATCTTTACTTGTACATGCAAACATATTTACAGAATATATTCTTAGAAGAGGAACTGCTGGATCAAAAGGCGTATGTACTTTAATTGATACATTACCAAGTTGCTCAGAAGTGGTTATGATAGTTAATACCTTGACCAACTCCATTATACTCTTGATCTTTCTGTACAACCTAAAGTTTACTTTCTTAACTCTGAATATTTCTAACTCTAAATAAGATATAATAACTGGAAGTTAGGTAACTTTAGGTAAAGAAAAACACTTAATAATTCATTACGTTAATAACTCCTAGAGATAATGCTGACTGCAGTAAACATACTAACAGCCTAGTTAAGGAAAACAGGCATTTGAAAGACCATCTATTAATCAAATGTTACCTCTTATAAGTAGGCTGGTACCACTTTTCGACGTAAACATTAATAATAAAACTTCTTGGGTTTTCCTTGGGGTCTTCCCAATTTTTTTTCCACTTCTTTTTTCAGTTTATTTGCCTTGTATCTCTCAGCCATCGACACAAGCTCCTCTGGGATACTCTGAAGCCATTAGATGTGTTTTTAGGATGGAGATTATTCTTTTAGTATAGCAGCTTTTCCATGACATACTAAAATGCCTCCAAACCATTTCAATCAGAGAATGTCCAGAACAGATTACATGACATTTTTCAACAGAATGAAATGCATCTCCCTGCATCATAAACTCTGAATTTATCTTTAATCTATAAAATCAGACTGATTTTAAAAACACCTGTGACTGCACCCCCCCCCCCCCGGCCCGCCCGTCTGTAGAGCCCCCAGGTGCTTCCCAGTGCCCTTAACTTGCCTTATCTGGGGCCACCTTCGGTATGTTCTCTCTCATCCCTAGGCCAGATTATGTTCCCCTGCTGGGACACTATCCCATTCTTCTACAGGTCTCCTAGCCCACCGGTTTCTTCCTCAGCAGGGTTTTCAGAGAGGCTCAGCCCCATTAGACTATGTTCCCTAATTATATAATAGTATAGCTCCTCATCTTTGTTTGGCTACAGTCCTCATAACATGTTTGATTACTTGTTTAATGTCTGTCTTTCCTGGTAAGCAATAAGCCCCAGTACTCAGAATAAATGAAATTATATGAATATTAGAAAAGTGATATGAGGTAGAATTCCGAGTTTTATATTCTCACCTGATTTGCTCTTTCCAGAATGTTAATTAATTCATTGGCAACCCTCCAATCACTTCTAGTGATAAGGGTAATTGAAACTCCAGTCCTCCTGTAAGGGGGGGAGGTGGAGAAACTCATGCCATTTGATTTGTAATTAATATTCATTATTCAGTTAGAAAAATAGAATAATAAAGACAGCAGCAGCAAAACCTCAACTTTTTCACAAGCCCAGATATGTATTATATGTCAGAATTTCGCATCGTTCAAACAGCAATGTGGAATCCAAAACCTGCAGTTGTTTAAAGGGCATATTACAAGGGTCTGTGCTAGCAGTGTTCTCAGGGACAGAAGGTTCCCTTAAACATGCCAACTTCGATGAGAGTGACCACTGGGTACCCATCAGTTTTTTGACACCCTAGACATAAAGTAAAAAGTGGAAATGGAAAGCTACATGCAGCTAACCACAGAGGGGTCCAGTTGAACCTGAAACAGGCCCACTGGGCAAAAATGAAGTAGGAAAGCAGGTTCTGGGGCGGCTCAGACAACTTACAGGCAAGAGAACAAAAGTTTTCTAGATAAAAGTAGGAGCCAGGGTTAGCTTTTTTATTTCTTTTTTTTAATCCTCACCCGAGGACATGCTTATTGATTTTAGATGGAGGGGAAGGGAGGGAGATGGGGAAGGGCAGGAGAGAGAGAATGGGAGAAACAGCAATCTGTTGCCCATGGAACATGTCCCAACTGGAGACTGAACCTGCACCCCAGGCATGTGCCCTGACTGGGAATCAAACCTGCAGCCTTTGGGGTTTATGCTCCAACCAATGGAGCCACATGGGTCAGGGCCAGAGTTGACACCTTTCATGGGCAGGCTATGACTACTTACCCAGCTCTTCCAGTGCGTCCTACTCTGTGCACATACTCTTCTATGTTCCGGGGAAAGTCATAGTTATAGACATGTGTGACATCATGGACATCGAGACCTCGAGATGCCAGGTCAGTAGCAATCAGTATTCTCACTTTACCTAGAGAGTAAAACCAAAGGATTACAGACACGTTCTTGCATAAGCCAATCTAAGACATATCAGAAAGTATATTTGCTCCTAGTATCTGACCAGGTGAAGTATTACTGTCTTTAATATTAAAACACTTAAGGTAGTGAAGATGGAAAGGGATATTTAGTTTTTCTTCTCAACTGCTGGCAAGCTACCACACAATAGATACCATGGTTCAGCAAATGGTCCCTGAATCGTCTGAGCCATGTCATAAAGATCCATGCATCTCAGGTAAACTAGGAAAAATCTCCCCCATGGCAAATTGTTGCCTTGACACCCAGGTTTAAACATCAGCTCTTTTGAGTTTGGATAGTTCTGAGAGTCTGGTCAGTATTTATAGCTCTAACAAGTATAGTCTGAGGTCTGTAAACTGAGGGCAGATCTTAGAAATGGGTTCCATGGAAAGGAGCTGTCACTTGGCCAATCACATGCATTTCACACTTTTCAAATACAACAAACAGTAATTGAATAAATGTACCTGTTTTAAAGTTTTCTAGTGCTTTCTCTCGATCGCTTTGTTCTCTGTTACCATGCAGAGACTCTACTGAGACATGTCGGAGAATCAGGTCACTGGATAAGTGATCAGCACTGGAGCAAACAAAGTCAGTGATCTTAAGCACTTATTCTAATGCCACTATCAGCTCGCTATTTTACTTCTATTAGCAAAAGTCTGAAATAACCTACTGAAAGCCATATATACCCCCACTTGAAATTAGTATACAAATAAAAAGAATGCTAAACAAATCAATTTGATGATTAAGGATATAAAGAAAAATACCTACACAGCTTTTCTGCTGACAAACACTATGACTTTGTCTTTGGGAGACATGCTCTCCAGGAAAGTTTGGATATGAGATCGTTTCTCTTCTTCTGTGGTGACAATTATATTTTGCTTCACAGTACTTACAGCCTGAAAGATTTAAAGATCATAGCATATCAACACTGATAGGCAAATACCATAACTTGGCTCAAAATAAATCTTATTTCCACCAGAGATTAATGTTTTAATAAACTGCTAACAGGAAAAAGGCATGGCCTCACAAAAATATGTATCTACTCAAGGATTTGTAGCTTAGCCTTTCATGTTTTATCACTTACTCACCCACAAGGAGTTGGAACTCCTGAATGGTTGGCAATGTGTTGAAAGTTGGTTACCACTGTAGGAAAAGAAATAACCGTGGAGGGAGACTAATCTTACAAAAAGTTTCATGAATTTTGAATGTAGCCCTTACTATGAAGAAAGATGATTAGTATATACACAAAAGTTTCCATTCAATGAGTATATTGACAATGCAATGCAAAATTCCAAAATATCATTAGCACTATTTTTTGAGCCAGAGATAAAATAGATGTTAACAGGACTTAATGAAAGGAAAGACCCAAGCATTTATTCTGCTTTTCATGAAATCTAACAAAATGGGCCTAGGCAAAAAGCCATCACTACTACTAGTGATTAAGTAAAAAGGGACAATTTTCATTAATAGTTAATTGAAAAAACAATTATAATTATTAAGTAAAAGGCCAGAAAACTTTATAATGGAAAAAGAGGTATAATGGAGATCTTTAATTATAAATTATATAATTATTAACATCATTTCAACACACTGAGCTACCTGAACTTCACAAAAACAGAACAGTAGGCTTAAATATATGCATAGCTGTGTAGACTTGTTTAGAACCCGATTCTCATGGGGTTAATAAAAATGAGATATCCAGAAAATAGGAACAATGACTGGATGTTTGATGGTATTCAAGGATTATTAAAATTGTAGGTATGATATATACTACAGTTATGTTTAAATTAACCTATTAGACACATATACTGAAATGTTTATGGACAGAATCATATATATATAGTATTTGCTTTAAAATTAGGGAGTGGGCAGAGATTTGCAAAAGCAGAGTAATTACAATTTCTATAATTCATAAGAAATATTTCGGAAGATGGTTTGACTTTGGGTGATGAGCACATAATGCAATATGGACACCATGTATCATAGAAATGTACACCTGAAACCTATGTGATGTTATTAATCAATGTCACCCCAATAAATTTAATAAAAAATAAATGTAATAACATATTAAGCAATCAAATAAAGCTCTCCATTTGCATTGGAAAAAATATTTTTAACAATAGTAATAAAAAACAAACTTACAACAAGATCCAAAGTACCAACATATACAATCATTGGCTCTTTCAAATAAGATTGTGCAAGTCGACGGACCTCATATGGCCATGTTGCACTGGAAATAAAACAAGAAACACAAACATGAAAAGTTTACTATGAAACAACCATTACTAAGTTTCTCTAAGAATGCTACAATCCAAATTGCTCATGAAAGACAGAAGTAGTACTTTTCAATAAGGACTTCAGAAAGAATTGCTCAACTTTAGTGAGGTTACTAGAGGAAACCTTTAAATATGTTTAATAAACAGGTTTATAAGCCAAAGGTGAAGGAGATTTAGACCTTAAACTCTAATCTTTGAAAAGGTAAAATGTATTCAAGTGTTAGATTTCTCTTGGCCTTTATAAAAAAACCAAAAACCTTGTATTTTTCATACACTGTCAGCAGGCAAAACTGAGTGCTATGCCAAATAAAAACATTTTAAGTGTACTGATGAAAGGATATATAAATACAAATGTTTCTTGTATATTATGGAAGTAACCACCTTTTATACTTTCACATTAACTAGCTGGGAAAAAAAGAAACAAAATGAGGAAATTTAGTATATTTCCTCAATTATATACCATTCTTTTTTATGATAATGACACAAAGAAGAAAATGGTTATGAATTACTCTACATTTAAATAACAATCATTGCTTCCCCAGTTTTACCTTGGGCAAAAAAGTATTCAGTAGTTAAATGATTACCTCTAAGAACAAGGGATCACTTATTCAAATGTGAGACCCCACTATGAAACTCGGTCTCTCCTCCTGGTACCCTCTCTCTGTTTTTATAGAAATCTGTCTGTAACTTAGGAAACCAATAGTTCTCGTTACACTGACACACTGAATTGCTATACTCACTGATGACATGATACGTTTCACCTAAGGATCTCAAAATACTTTCAAGAAATGCTCTCAAAATCCTGCGGGGAAATTGACTAAAGACTGGATTCTATTCTGATGATTCCTATGTTGCAGACTAGCAGTGGGGCACAGACCTACCTTGTCATAATAGTCTGCCTGTCTGGGCGCACATCTAGTAAAATCTTCATTATCTGGGGTTCAAATCCCATATCCAGCATCTTGTCGGCTTCATCTAATACCTGCATTAAAAATGTTTGTGGCTAGATAGATATGAGAGGTAGCTAATATGTATTCTTTCTTTATAAATATGATACCAACAGGTTATTTTTTCTTAGTTCCCCTATTCCTAAGCTAATATTTTAATTTCTCCAGGAGAAAATAAGTGGTTTGTGGTTATAACACAAATTGATTCGATTCTTTCTAGGTGAGTTAGTATTTTCTAAATCTATTTAAAGAAAAAAGTTTATACCTAAATATCCATGTGGATTTTGATTTTCTTTTGTACTTATCCACATTTTCCAACATTATAAAAACATTAAAATAAAATGATCGTAAAATGCTTATTTTAACATATTAGAGGGAATGGGAAATATCCCTACAATATAAAAATATTATAAAATGGATAGCCATTCTAAAAGACTGTTTTAATAAGAGTTTAGTTCTTCCAGTATCTCAGACCCCTACTCCATGATTACCAAGTAGGTTATACTTTTCAGGTTGACAAAGTTATTCATTTGCAGATCATTCAGTCTTCCAGGAGTTGCAATAATGATATCTACACCTTTTGTCAGATCTTGTATTTGTCCATTTCTATCTCCACCGCCATATATACAAACACTTAAAAAAAAACACAGAGGTTCATGTTCAGGCAAGGAATATCCCAACACACTCAAAATCCCAACCAACCTAAGTGTCTAGGGTATAAAATAAAAAGTATATAAATAAAAAAAAAGTATCAGATGCCTTTGGTACTATTTGCCCCTTTCTGAGAACTATCAATACCCACCAACTGCAGCGGTGTGTCTATCCTGAAGAGCTGTGTCTGCATCATTGTTACTGACCCCACCACCCTGGCTACACTTGGTCTGGGTCAGGGATAATACCTGACCCGTGCTGGGCCAATCAAATTCTCAAAATGTGGGAAAAAATAATGAGAGAATGTGTGAAGCTACAAATGATTAAGGTGCTGATGCAGGAATAGCCAAAAAAATGACTTACTTTTTAAGACCTTTATATGAATACTTAGAACATTCAGCTTGCACTTGAAGAGCTAGTTCTCGAGTGGGTGTAAGGACTAACATGCCAGGTCTATTCCTTTTGTCTCTAGCTCTTTGGAGAGAAAACAGAATATTAAAGTACCTCCCTCAGATGCATGGAACATGCATTCAGTGCTATCAAAATTTGTAGCAATGAGTGTCAAAATTGCATACATTCACCATAAAAAGTGGAGAAATGTGGAAAGACATTCAAACAAACAAACAAACAAACAAACAAACAAACAATCCAAGGGCCCAGATGCTTTCCTGTGTCAAACATTCTCTCACATAGTCATACCGGACATGATAATTTAAACAAATTTTTTCCAATGCTTCACTGCTTCCAAAAAATGTGTGGTTTTTTTTTCCTTTTATTGATTCCAGAAAGAGGGGAAGGGAGGGAGATAGAAAGGGAGAGAAGCATCAAAGTGAGGGAGAAACACCTATCAACTGGTTGTTTCTTGTGTGCACCCCAACCAGGGACTGAATGCACAGCCCCCCTGCAAGTGCCCTGACTGGGAGCCCAAACAGCGACCTTTCCATTTGCCAGATGACACCCAACCAACTGAGCACAATGGCCAGGGACTTTCCAAAAATGTTTTGTAAATTTATACTTTTACCGGCACAGTACAAGTGTATTTTCCTGAGACTAGGTATTACCTTTGGACCAATGTAACATACAAGGACACTGTAATTGCATTTTTGATATCCAGATCTATTAACCCCTTTAGAGAACTCAGCTATAGAAATTCTTACACTGGTTGAGAGTCAAGGTGGATAAGTCCAGGCATTAAGTAGGACAGTGTCTTCCCTGTTCCGGTTTGGGCCACTCCTATAAGATCTATTCCTTGTAGAACTATCGGCCATGCCTGTGACTGAAACAGAATGATAAATAGTAAACTAAAAAGTCTTTTCTTTGTGTCAAGTGTCCCTCCTGTCCCAGCCCCAAAACTTTTCTCCACAAACACTTTCTGCTTGCTGAGAACTGGTGGTGCAGGAAATGCTGGGGAAGTGCTCTCTAGTGATTTAACTTCCAACAGGCAGTGTTTAGGGGGGAAACCATTAGAGAAATATTAGAATCAAAGAATTATTCAGCATACCTGAATTGGTGTTGGCTTTTGAAAACCTGCCTTTTTAATGTTTTCCATAACTTCAGGATAACATTCAAAAACATCCTCAAATGTACAAGTAGGATTGGGGATAGGACGTTTCTCTCCATCTTTCAAGTCATCACACACTATATTGTAATTTTCTTTCCTTTAAGGGAAAACAGCATGAATATTATTGGCCTTGGACACTTTACTTTCCAAGCAAGAAATTTTCTGGCACTAGTTCAGGTCGGATCTAGAAATTCAACTGCAACTGATTAAAACTAGACTGTTAGTAAAGTTACAGTAAAATGTAATCATTAAGAAATAGAAGTCAGCCCATCTTTTTCTTACCAGAAAAGTCTCAGAAAGAAGGAGAAAATTACATTGTATGTGTGAATGGGCCAGTGAAAGTTTCATAGAAAGGCCAAGAACAGAGCCTGAAAATTAGATGCTGCATGATTCAAAATCAGATTTGGCAAACACTTGAGGGCCTACAATATTTCACACATATTTCTTTATTTTAACCTCAACAATCCTGTGAAATGGAAATTATTCTCATTTGGCAGGTGAATGAATATTAGCTACTTGTCTAAGGCCTGAGCCCTACCCCAGCCCTGGGATAACTATTGTTTCTGCAATACTATCTTAATTTTATAGCAAACATTAACTTTAAAAATGCTGCCATTAGGACCTTTAATTCCAGATAATAAGGATTGAATAGTAAGATATTATTCTATTATTCAGATAACAGATCAATTTATTATGATTTCCAACAACTGTAGGAATACTCTCTAAAACTCGATTCCATACAGCAAGAATTAATCCCATGTTTTTTTAATTTAAACTATTAAATTAAAAATTCAGTTCCTCAGTTATACTAGCCATATTTTAGGGGTTCAAGAGCTATGTATGGACAGTAACTGCTCTGTCAGACACAAACATAGCCCTTTTTCCACCGATGCAGAAAGTTTCATTGGATAGCAATACTCTCATATATACCAAATAGGATGCAGCCAAGTTTTCATCTGAATATGTAACATGTAGACTCCAAATACAATCATTTCAAATCTTTGTCCGATGAGTTATTTGGTTACACAACTATATAAATACTCACTTAAAGAAGTAATAAAGCAACCCACCTCCAAAGGTCTACTTGTGCTTGTGACATAGACCTTGTTGTTTCCGACTCCACATAAAAGTTTTTCTTAATTGGGGGTAAATCTGGGACAAAGATGAAATTCAAACTTTGATAATGACAACTTCCATTTCACTGACACTTATTCAAAGTAACAGGAATCACACGAAATACGTACCGGGTTCACCTCGCATTCAGTTTTAGACAGTTGTTGCGCAATTTGCCAGTCAGGCCTAGGCCAGAATCTACATCTCCCTTTTTGAGTTGTCTTTTAATTACATTTTTCACACAAGAAAGAGATCTTTAATTATAAAATTAGTATAGAAGAAAAAAACAAACTTTATAAGACATGATCATCACAATTGATGAATCTCTCAAATACAGTAAACTGATATTATCTTTTCTTTGAAGGTCCATCCCATTATTGTTTAGGAATAAAATATTTATCTTTCTACTCTAAGAAGCTATATATCTTTTTTTTCATAAATGCCTATTGTACCTCCTCCAAACTTAAATCCTTTCTCCGGCCACCCATCCCAAATCTCCCCAACACACATCTTGTCAAGGTGGCACTGGAAACTTAATGTGCACACAGGCTGACTGCCAGAGTGGAATTAGTTATCACTAATATTTGTCATGTATTAGTGCATTAGCATTTTAATTTTAAATAAACGATGCTGTGCTGCTGCCTCTTTCCAACAGCCAAGTTCAGTGCTCAAACTTCCTCTGAAATGCAGTGACCGGAACGTGGAACATTTTATTCCATATATATATAATTCCAAGTAAGAATTTCAACTAAAGTTAAACAAATGTTAAAGACCCATTTCTTCTCAAGAACTGCATGCTCATTAAATGTTTTTCCCTTTTATTTTGCCCTTGTCAGTCAGGATGGTCCAGGATCAACTGGCGCTCAATTACAGCAATGGTGTTAACAACTCATGGTCAGCATGCTCATTCCCTTCATTTTTCCCTTGGGCCTTGTTTTCTGTTTTATTAAACTGTTGCAGTAAGCTATCTCAAATAAGGCAAGGTATAGGTAAGTTTAATATTTTAACTTCCCATTTATAGCACAAGTCACAATGCAGACAACATAGAAAGAAGCATGTCCTAGGAACTATAGCCTTGCAAATTTTACTATCATTTTTCATATACATCTCATTACTAAAAGTTATACATTTTATAGAGAATAAAAACCTCAATTAAGAGCAACACCAACACCAACTCTGGCTGGTGTGGCTCAGGAAATTGAGTGCTGGCCTGTGAACCAAAAAGTCGCTGGTTCAATTCCCAGTCAGGATACATGCCTGGGTTGTAGGCTGGGTCTCCAGTTGGGGGCATGCAAGAAGCAACCACACACTGGTGTTTGTCTCCCTCTCCTTCTCTCTCCCTTCCCCCCTCTCTAGAAATAGATAAATTTAAAATTTTTTTAAAAACTTTTTTTAAATATATTTTATTGATTATGCTATTACAGTTGTCCCATTTCCCCCCTTCATTCCCCTCCACCCTGTACACCCTCTCCCACCCACTTCCCCCCTCCCTTTAGTTCATGTCCATGTGTCATACTTGTAAGTTCTTTAGCTTCTACATTTCTCATACTACTCTTACCCTCCCCCTATCTATTTTCTACCTATAATCTATGCTACTTATTCTCTGTACCTTTTCCCCCTCTCTCCTCCTCCCACTCCCCTGTTGCTAACCCTCCATGTGATCTCCATTTCTGTGGTTCTGTTCCTGTTCTAGTTGTTTGCTTAGTTTCCTTTGGTTTTGCTTTAAGTGTGGTTGTTAATAATTGTGAGTTTGCTGTCCTTTTACTACACGTTTTTTTTAATCTTCTTTTCTCAGATAAGTCCTTTTAACATTTCATAAAATAAGGGCTTGGTAATGATGAACTCCTTTAACTTGACCTTATCTGAGAAGCACTTTATCTGCCCTTCCATTCTAAATGAAAGCTTTGCTGGATAGAGTAATCTGGGATATAGGTCCTTGTCTTTCATGACTTGGAATACTTCTTTCCAGCCCCTTCTTGCCTGTAAGATCTCTTTTGAGAAATCAGCTGACAGTCTGATGGGAACTCCTTTGTAGGTTACTGTCCCCTTATCTCTTGCTGCTTCTAGGATTCTCTCCTTCATTTTTACCTTGGTTAATGTAATTATGATGTGCCTTGGTGTTTCTTCTTGGATCCAACTTCTTTGGGACTCTCTGATGTTCCTGGACTTCCTGGAAGTCTATTTCCTTTGCCAGAATGGGGAAGTTCTCCTTTATTATTTGTTCAAATACGTGTTCAATCTGTTGCTCTACCTCTTCCCCTTCTGGTACCCCTATAATTCGGATGTTGGAACGTTTAAAGATGTCCTGGAGGTTCCTAAGCTTCTCCTTGTCTTCTTGAATTCTTATTTCTCCATTCTTTCCTGTTTGGTTGTTTCTTTCTTCCTTCTGGTCCCCTCTATTGTTTTGAGTCCCAGTTTTCTTCCCATCACTATTGGTTCCCTGTGCATTTTCCTTCATTTCTTTTATGGTAACCTGCATTTGTTCATCTAATTTGCAACCAAAAACAACCAATTCTGTGAGATTCCTGATCACCGGTGTTTTGAACTGTGTATCTGATAGGTTAGCTATCTCTTAGTCACTAAAAAGGATGAGTTCTGGGGCACTGATTTGTTCTTCTGTTTCAGCCATCTCTCTCCCTCTCTCTCTCTCTTTTTTTTTTTTTGGTCTGGTCGCTCCCCATATGGTGAGGGGCGGAGCCTTAGGTGTTCACCAGGGCTGGGCACTCCAGTCGCTAGATTGTGACATTGTATGTGAGGGTGGGGTCGAGAGGGAACAATGGTGGTAGGACCTCAGTCCCTTCCCTGGGATCCTGGGTTGCGCATTCTGCCCTGCTTCACAATAGCCACTTCACTGGGTCTGCCAGCTGCCGCTTGCATACTCAGGGTCCACCTGCTGTGATCCTGTGCACTCCAGATGCCTTACGCGCCCCCAGTTGCCTTATGCGCCCAACTCTCCCTGTTCTCCATGCCATGACCCTCGCTGCGACCCGCGCCTGGCTGCTCGTCTCCACCCCTCCTACCAGTCTGGATGAATGGGTCTATTTCAACTTCTTGGCTGTCCGACTTCCATTCAGATAAATTTTTTGTCAGTTTTGGGTGTTATTCTGCCTCTAAATTGTTGTTGTTCTAATCTTGGTTGTGCGTGGAGGTACGGTGTGTCCACCTATGCCTCTATCTTGGCCGGAAGTCCTAAAAATTCTTAAAAATAAAAAAAAGAGAAACGCCAACACCACATGTAAATGTTAGAATACAGCACAAACCTGCCCACTTTTTTTCCTCCCATTTCAAAGCATCTTCTCGAATTTGATCCCAATCAATTAGCAGTGGCGGATCTTCTGTAACAACACTGTCATCAGCCCTTACGTCTCTTTGAGCAGAAGGTTGGGATGCAACAACATCTGTTAAAATATTTTTACCTAATTAGTTTCCAAACAAATCTTATTAGTACAAAATCCCCAAAACCATTTTACTATTTTCTGTTTTAAGAACCAGACAGTGATGCTTGCAATATAAAACACAGGGTTTTTGTGCTACAGAACCATGGCAATTCTGGTCATAGTTCTTGTCATCAGTTATCAGCTTCAGATTCATGAAATGGGGAAAATGGGAAAATGTAGCTTTCTGGAGAAGTAGCGCGAGAGCCTAGTGTCTACTAAATCACATAAATCACTTAATCTTCACAATAATCCCATGAGGAATATGTTCCCCCAGGTTAACAGACGAGGAAATGGGGTCTTACAGGGTTCTTAGGGGTTCCACCAAGAAACACTAAGAGGCAATGCTGCCACTTGAACCCAAGACTCCTTTCTTTTCACTTCCTTATTGCTTCTGAAAATGGTTCAATAAGCTTTTTCTTTAGTTCAAGCAGATCTGAGATTTCTAAAATATCAAATAATCAGGCAGTTTCCCCAGTTAGTCATATTCCAGGGAGGAGACTATAAAAACAGGAGGCCAGGACTAACTCTTGCTCTATCATTAATAAGAAGAATGTTTCTTTAAAAAGTTAGTGGGCTTTTTTTCTCACTCATCTATGGCTAAAATAAAACAGATAGGCTTAACCAAGGAAATTAAGTGTTTTCATTTGAGGAAAAAGCATCCTAGAATTCCACAGAAAAAAATTCTGTAACAGACTAGATTTCATAATAGCAACTTAAAGCTTTAGTAGAAAGAAAAGTGTCAGGTATAATATGGCTTATAAAATGTAATAAAATTTTTAAAAATGTTACAGGGCTTTAGTGGGCAAAAATTACTTACCAACTCTGGGTTGTGAGTTATAATTTTGTTGTTTTTTAACAAGATTATCTATCACTGCTTTTGCTTTTTTCTGCATTGCCTTGCTACCAAAAATTTTGATTTCGGCTTCAGGACACCCTTTTATTACCTATACACAAGGAAAAAATTGGTGATTGAAGTCCCCTTGCCACTTGCCCCTCCAACAATCACTCTACTTTTAATAACATGAAAGTATAAAGTAAATGTAGTACTGCTATCAATGGGTGCCTGAGATATTATGTAAGGCTTTTATACAGGAAAAGGTCATGAACACGCATAATTTGTGTTCTGGAAAGATTGCTCTGGCCACAGCTCTTTGGCCAGTGAAGAAAGGTTAGAGGAGGACCATTGGAAGCAGGGTGCTTCAATTAGGGGGGAATGCTTCAAATGATGTGATTTCCTTAGAGAAATACGGGAAATGGAAAGAACTCAACAATGATGGCCTGATTGTGGGATAATGAAAAGCTAGTGATCTGTGCTTGGAACATGGTGCGTACTGAGATTGGGAAACAGGAACAGCTCAAGGTTTGAGGAATGGGGGTCAGGAAGGGCATGACAAATAGTCCCCAGAGATCTCATTCTTCAGCAAAGACTACCTCTAAAGGTTTTTACCTGTATGAGTAAAAACAAAACAAAACAAAACAAAACAAAATCCGAGACCTGGAAATGGCCCATAGCTCAGGTGAGTTCTTGAAAAGAATGGTGGTATGAAGAGCTGTGGCAACTTATCTACGTTACCACAGTATGTTCGCAACTGAGCAGAACTAGAGTTAGGAATGAACTATGAGCTTTTTTGACTTAAGAACACAGATCACCTACCTGTATTTTGGTGTTTGTTGTACTTTGGATGTCTTTTATTTTTGACCCACCACGACCTGTTTTAAAAATAAAGATATTTTTTAAAGCAATTTGACATACTGTACCTATGACTATTAAATAATAACACTTGTGTAAGAACCCCTTCAACTTCAAGTAGTAATATCAACTAGCAAGTCAATGACTACTTTCCAGATTTATGCCTTCAAGTTTAAGAGACAGTTTCATTATCTTTTGCATGCCAGATTGGTTTGTGATGAAAAGTATATGGATTTATCAAATTTTGAAATTTTTGGCTAGAAATGAAAGTTATTACTGTGTTCTTAGCCTACTTATTTTCTGGCTACAAATTTAATAAAGGTGCTATTTATTCTTTGGCTAAAAAAAAAAAGCAAGTTGAAATAACTAAGGGGGATTTACCTACTTTCCTCAAAGAACCATTTGTAGTTCTTTCTTAAGTCATCCAAACAAAGGCTCCTAGGATCCAATGATCTCTTTCAGTATGGAAAAAGGGAAGCAAGCTTTTTCTATCCTCAATTTTGGTGGGTGGTAAGAGGCTCCTTTTCTGGAGGTAGGTACTAAGGATTCATTAGCAGCCCAAGCAAACGAATTAGATCCAAAGTGTTGGCAAGGATGTAGAGAAATCAGAACCCTGCACGTAGCAACTCGACAACAAAAAATCCCATTAAAAATGGTCAAAGGTCCTGAATAGACATTTCTCTAAAGAAGACATACAAATTTCCAGTATGCATATGTGGTAAGATACTGAAATCATTAGGGAAATGCAAATATTGAAACCATAAGAAATCTCCTTGTAAATGTTACAATGGCTATCATCAAGAAGATAAGTATTCAGGAGGATGTGGAGAAAAGGGGAGCCCTTGTGTACTTGATAGGGACGTAAAGTGGTGCAGCCACAATGGCAAACACTACGGAGTTTCCTTAGAAAACTAAAAATGGAATTACAGTACATTCCAGCAGTCCCACTTCTGAGTATTTATGCAAAGGTATTGAAATCAGGATCTCCAAATGCTATCTGCACTCTCATGTTCATTTCAGCATTATTCACAATAGAGGCAGAAACAACCTAAATGTCTGTCAACAGATGACTGGATGAAGAAAATGTGGCATGAACATACAACGGCAGTTTTCCATTTGTGACAGTAGGAATAAACCTTGAGGACATTATGTTAAAGTGAAATAAGCCAATCATGAAAAAACAAATAGTGCATGACTCCACTTCTAGGATGTGTCTGGTGTAATCAAACTTGGAAAAACAAAGCAAAATGGTGGTTGCCAAGGATGGGGGATGGGAGATGAGGGAACTGGTGAGTTATTCAATGGGTAGGTTCAACCATGCAAGATGAAAACATTTTAGAGATCTCCTATACCACAGTATTCTTACAGTTATCAATACTGTACTACACATTTAAAATTGTTTTGTAAGTTAGTTATATTTATTTTTAAAAATTGCATCCAGAATCAACATCAAGTGGGTGGTCTCTAGCACAGTGCTTGCATTTTGCAGGTGCTCTGTAAGTGTTGAGAGCTTAAGTGATTTTTAAAAAGTTTTTAAATTTTATCTATTTTTATTTTTAAAAAGGATTTTATTTGTTTATTTATTTATTTATAGAGAGAGGGGAAGGAGGGGAGATAAATATCGATGTATGAGGATGTACGAGAGGAACATCAATCAGCTGGTTCTCACAGGCCCCCAACCAGGCACCTGGCCTGCAACCCAGGCATGTGCCCTGACCAGAAATTGAACCAGTGACCTTTCAGTTCACAGGCTGGTGTTCAATCCACTGGGCCACATCAGCCATGGATTAAGTAATTTTTACTGTAAACTTAGTGGCTTTCATTATGGAGCATCATTCTTCAGATCTTTGAGCATGACACACCTTGAGAGGTCAATTAATCTCTGGCTGGTCAAGCAATCAGTCTTATATTGTTCTATTTCTTAACAGCCTACAAAATCTGTTCTTTTTTTTTTCAAAAAAGGTTAAAAACGGGGAGGGTAAAACAAAATATCAGCTCCCAAACCTAATAGTAAAATGCTGAAATTCATCACCGGATTTAATAAATGGGACACATCTGAATTCTGATCATTTCTCTCTCTCTTTTTTTAAGATTTTATTTAATCATTTTTAGAGAAAGGGGAAGGGAGGGAGAAAGAGAGGGAGAGAAAGATCAGTGTGTAGTTGCCTCTGAGTCCCCCTACTGGGAACCAGGCCTGCAACCCAGGCATGTGACCTGACTGGGAATTGAACCAGGGACCCTTTGGTTAGCAGGCAGGACTGAATCCACTGAGCCACACCAGTTAGGGCTAAATTGCAATCATTTCTAAATGCTTCAAAAATGAATTTATACTCAAGATATACTAAGAAAAAGATCCTGTCTTTCAGCAGATAAATTCATATTTAGCTTTAGTCCACGTGTCTAGTTTCTTGTTTGTGCCCAGTGCTGTACACTGTAAGGTTGTGGGTTAGTCCCTGGCCAGGGCAGGTACTGAGGCAACCAATAGATGTTTCTCTCTCACATCGTTATCTCTCTTTCCCTCTCTCCCCCTTCCTCTCTCTCTAAAAGCAATGAAAGAATGTCCTAGGATGAGGATTAAAAAAATATTTAAGTTAAACTATATGCAAGATATGGCTACTTCTCTAAACAGCCCTTGAATATCTTCTACCTTCTTATCTTTGGTTAATGGCTCTATACAGTGCTCAAAAAGCTTGATTTCAGCAGTGTTTTGTAGTTCATTTTGGGGTAACCCTGATCTTTTATCCCAAAGACTTTCCAAGTCTTCTGAGAGTTTGCTCTCCCCAAACACCGTCTCCATAAACTACAAATGGTGCATTAAATGACATTATTCTAGTACCACAAGATACTAAAAATGTCACCGGGAAAGACCTGAATCGTATTAGGTGGCAGCTGACTGGAGGCAAGGAGAGGGCAGAAGGGATGCCCTTGCCCAGGCTTCAGCCCTGGCCCTACTCATTCTTCAATCCTGGTCCTGCCCTCGCACACCCATCCTCTCTCACCAATCACCACGCCGACCCAATCGTTCTTCAATCCAAAGCAGAGCGGCGGTTCCCAGGAACCATCGGCCACAGGTTGCTGGAGGTTGGAGGGGTCCCTCCAGTCGCTGTCTCTGCCGCCCCTACGGCCACCTCGGCCTCTCCGATTCCGCTCTTCCTCTGGCCCCCTTTCCGGAGCCTGGGACACTGCCGAGCTTGGCCGAGAGGCAACGACCCAGGAGAAGGCGTTGGCGCCCACTTCTTGACTTGACATGGTACCTCGAAGAAGATTCGGGGAGTCCGACGCCGTACCCGCTCGGCCCTGCACTACCCCACCGTGCCGCGGGTGGCTATTCTCCAGGAATATTCACGCAGCCGCTACTGGAGGAGGCCGCGCGAGGCCGGCCCGGCACGCGCGCGTTTATCCTCCGTGGCCTCACATCTATTGGTGGACAGGAAGTTGTGGGCAGACCTTCAGGATTGGACCAATCCACTCTCGTAATCGTGTGAGCGCCACGTCTGTGTGAATCAATGCGCCTACGTCTGTTTCTTTTTAGGTGTGGGGCTGCGCTGAAGCTCTCCGCACTTTTCCCTACTAAACTCCGGAAGCGTTTGTGACCTTGACTCTCAAACACTCATCACTTTTACAACGTGACCCTATACACACGTAAAACATTTGAAACATAAAGTTTACAAAACAGCATTTATCATGGCTATGTGAGCAGCGCTTTGATGTATTTAAGCCTATAGTAGTTGTCAAACTGTTGGTGGTAATCGACCGATTTAATAGCCCACAGTTTAAAAATATAGGGCCTGAGAGCTATGGCTTCAAGACTTGACCTGAACATTTGGTGTAGTTTTAGGGCTAATGAAATAAACTGAATAAACGCCAGAGGGATTCCCATACTTGCAGCCTGGCTGTGCGGCTGGATATAGTATTCCAGGCAGGCAAGCCAGCTGGGGGTGCCCCTGCTTTGATTAGGGTCTTCAAATTGTCTCAACAAATCTCATGTCAATCATCCACCAAACGTTGCAGACATTTATTATGATGCCAGGAACTGTGACCTGTGCCCAGGATTAAAGGAAAAAAAAAGGACTAGACCTGGTCCATCCTGGGTGGATGGATCAACTCACGTGAAATTAACTACAACTCTCAATGTGATCATCTCTGGACAAATAGGATTACAGGGCCATTGGAGAACCCAGGAAATAGATAAAAAGATAAGTGTATTATACATTTAATCTCTATTCTCTAATCTTTAATCTGAAATGGATAGTATTGATCATCTTTACAAAGGAATTTAGTTGGAATAGATTTGCAAATATTTTATTGAGGATTTTTACATCTACATTCATGAGAAATAGTTTGTGATTTTCTTGCAATGACTTCATCTGATTTAGTATTAGGGCAATGCTGTCCTCATAAATGAGTTAGAAAGTTTTCCCTCTGCTTCTGTTTCCTGGAAGATATTGTAGAAAATTAGTATAATTTCTAAACATTTGTCAGAATTCACCAGTAAACACATCGGGACCAGGTACTTTCATTTTCCAGTTATTAATTATTCACTCAATTTCTTTAATAGATATAGGCATATTCAGTTTGTTTCTTTTTGTGTTTGGCAGATTACATCTTTCAAGGAATTGGTCCATTTCACCTAAATTATCAAACTTCTGGGCATAGTATTTCTTTATTATCTTTTTAAAGTCCATGGGATCTGTATTGATATTCCCTCTTTCATCTCTGGTATTAGTAATTTGTGCCTTCCCTCCTTTTTCTTAGTTAGCCTGGCTAGAGTTTTATTGGTTTTACTTTTTTTCCCCCAAGGAACCAGCTTTGGTTTCATTGATTTTTTTTCTATTGATTTCTTGTTTTCAATTTCATTGATTTCTTTTCTAATTTTTTATTTCTTTTTTCCTGTTTACTTTGATTCAGTTTGCTCTTCTTCTTCTAGTTTCCTAAAGTAGAAAATTTGATGATTGATTTTAGATCTTACTTCTTTTCTAATATATTCATTCAATGCTATACATTTTCCTCTAAGCAATGTTTTTACTGCATTCCACAAATTTTGTGTTATTATTTTCATTTAGCTCAAACTATTTTATAATTTCTCTTGAGATTTCTTCTTTGACCCATGTATTATTTAGAAATGTGATTCATCTCCAAGTAGTTTGGGATTTTACAGCTATCGTTCTGGTGATTGTTAGTTCAATTCCACTGTGGTCTGAGAACACTGTTGACCATAAAAACAAAGTCAACTAGGCATTTGCCACCAAAAAAACTTACTCAGGCCCTGGCTTGTGTGGCTCAGTGGATTGAGTGCCAGCCTGCAAACCAAAGGGTTGCTGGTTCGATTTCCAGCCAGGGCACATGCCTGGGCTGTGGGCCAGGTACCCACTTCAGGGTATGTGAGAGGCAATCACACATTGATGTTTCTCTCCCTGTCTTTCTCTCTCCCTTCCCCTCTGTCTAAAAATAAATAAATAAAATCTTTAAAAAATAAAATAAAAAATAAAAAGAATTTGTTCAGGAAAAAGAAAGGATTTCAATCCAGTGCAGACATGATGAGCCACATGAATGAACTGAACTGGAGAAAGATGAAGTACTATATAGAATGGAAGAGAAAGTTAAGGGGAGGGACTGTTTCACCTTAGAGCTATGTTGTAAGCATAGATTTCTTCGCATAGAGCTCTCTTGATAACATGGAGTGTGTGTGATAGCTCCTCCCACACGTCCTCCCAGTTTCTGTCCAGGTTAAGGTCTCTGGCAAAAATTTTAACCACAGACATTGTATGATTTCTACTCTTTTAAATTTGTTAAGGGGTTTTGTAAATCCCCTTACAAATATTTTCTTTATTTTAATGACGCTGGTACAGGCAATGTCCATTTAAAACCCATATCCCAGACCAAAAAGTACAAATGTAATTTTAAAAATGTAGTGTTCTGTTGTACATATTTCTTCATGAGTAACTTTAACTGCTCATGAAAATTAGAACCTTTCTGGGATATTCTGACAAGATTTTTCTTTGAGCCCTGGCTGGTGTAGCTCAGTGGATTGAGCACGGGGCTGCGAACCAAAGCATCGCAGGTTCGATTCCCAGTCAGGGCACATGCCTGGGTTGCAGGCCACGGCCCCCAGCAACCGCACATTGATCTCTCTCTCTCTCTCTCTCCCCCTCTCTCTCTTTCTCTCTCCCTCCCTCCCCCCTTCCTTCCCTCTCTAAAAATAAATAAATAAAATCTTTAAAAAAGAGCATAAAATAAAATTTTTAAAAAAATAAAAAAAAAAGATTTTTCTTTGCTCTTAAAATGCTTTCTCTTCAGTGAAGCCATCTTGGAAGTTAGTCCTTTCTCTCACTTATCTGTCATCTTGACTACTCCAACCTGATATTCCTCTTTTGGTACAGACCCTTAGATTTAAAAGTAGCTTCAAGTTAAGAAAGTGTCATTTTCCCACAGTTCAATTCTCTGAAAAACTTTTATCTCCCACTGAAAGTTATAGTCTAGGAGCTAAGCAATCACATGCTAGAACTTCAGAGCCTATTAAAGAGTCATCATGAACACATGCATTGGTTGAGCTTATTTATCACAATCCCAAAAATGCAATCCTGAAAAAGGTGGCCTCCCTGTGCACACATGTAATATTTTAAAAGGGGGCTGAGGTCTGATCACCAGAAATCAGCACAATGAAAACAATGAATAATGGGCACTAGAATTCAAATTACCACATGTTTTAAAGAGATGGGGTGCTAGTTTCAATTCTATTTTGAAAATCCCATTAAAAAATAACTATTTTAAAAAATAAAAAATGACTGAGGGAAAAGAAAAAAAATAAAAACAATATCTAAACCATCAAATGACCCCTGGGTATTCCTGATAAACTTCAATCACATCTTCTTTCTCCATTCCCAGTTTGTTTGGAGTGTGAGCTCATCAGCAATTCTTTGATCCTCAAAGAGAAACCTGAGTGAATTCATTGGAACTCTCCGTCTTTTACAGTATGATTCTTTTCATTTTGAGATGTCATGATTTTTACTTTGAAGTGAATCTCACTGCTATCTTGTCCAATGACTTTGAGTTTAATGTATTATTCTTTCTTCTGATCCCCCAAGCCCTCCCTCAGTTGAAGATTTTGCCTCCTGGTCAGACAGGGTGATGATGTCTTCATCCAGGGTCTCTGCAGGCAGAACCTGACTCCAGAGTTTACAAGTCCATCTGTCTTCTGTAGCTGTTAATGTATATTTTGAGGCCCAGATTGCAGTCTAGCCTGGTGAACACTGCTAGCAATGAAAACTGGTGCTAGTTTTCATTCATGGCATTCTTCTTCCTTTCACTCAGTTTCTTTTTTTTTAATTTTTTATTTATTGATTCTTTTTTTAGAGAGAGAAAGGGAGGAGGGCTAGAGAGAAAGACAGAGAGAGGGAAAGAGAGGGAGAGAAATCAATTTGTTGTTCCACTTACCAATGCATTCATTGGTTGATTCTTGTATGTGCCCTAACTGGAAATCAAACCCACTACCTTGGCATATCTAGACGACACACTAACCTATGGAGCTCCTCAGTCAGAGTCTCATTCAGTTTTATATGTACTTCCATGTAGTGATAGGAAATTAATTTTATTCATTGGTAGCCTTGAGAACATCACTAGGCAGGCCATCATGAGATCCCTGAACAGGCCATAGATCAAATTAAAATTCTCAAATCAAATACTTGATTGAATCAACTTAAAACCTACAGTGAGAAATAGGTGTGTGTGTGGTGGGGAGATTAATATACTTATGATAAGTGCAAGTGGGGTGGAAGGATCTTACTACCAAGTGTTTTGTTACTCAGTGAGCCAACATCCTGTCTCCCTGCCTCATCAGCCTTTGCATCTGAGGGTATGATTACAAGGCCAGCGTTGAGATGAGCATGGAAGCTGAGCAGTCTGACTGAAGCAGATACACATTTACCCTATTGGAGGAGCACAGGGGCAAGTCCTCCTTCCAAGTTATTGCCTGCACTTTGCCCATAACTTGTTGAGCAGCTATGGCTTTTAGCTGTATTTCTTAGTCAGAAAACACATGGAGTCAGAATAGGTGCCACATTTAGCAATAACATAACTGCCAATCTGGAGGTAATATGACATGTGCTTTAATATAGTAATTCTTTTTGCATTTTTCTCTTCCTATTTTTAGGATATACAAACACTATTTCTAACATGTCTTATAAGTGCTGTCTATAATTTCTCTTGTTCTCTATATGGCAGAATTTATTATTAATATAGCAAACACACAT